CCCAACTGTTTAATCCATTTGTCCATGTGAGGGCCTTTGGCAGAGACATAAAGATGACGTGAGCTGGAGCTTTCCCTTCCTGCGACTGCTTCCCCTGTTTCCCACAAATTTATCTCACTGCTCGGTCCTGGAAGGCACAAACGGGTCGGAGGAAACCCCTCCGACTGCTGATGTGCCCACGAGCTTGATCTCCATCAGGACCTTGCTTTCCCTGGAGAGAGATGGGGAGTGATGAGCGCCCTTTGCTCGTGCTGGTCACTGCCAAGCAGGTGCTGATATTATTGTGCGGATAAATGCCGCCGGCGAGCGGCACTGTTGCTGTGTGCGGGGGATGCAGTTTTTGGGGTCAACCGAAGAGCGGACACCTGCGGAAATCCATCACCTTAATTAGAAACTACCAAGACTGCTTGGGAGTTCCACACGTGTGTAGGTACGGTACGTACGTACGGATGTACGTATGTATATATGCCGCTGTTATTGCCTGGACTGGACACAGAGATCGTAGCGATCGTACGGGCACGGAAGGAGGCCATTTCGGACCCATCGTGTCAGCCAGCGCCGGCTCCCTTTCGGAAAAGAGCTTTTCCAAATCAATCCCGCTCTCCCCCACCCCCCCCACCCCCGTCCCCCTCCCCCCGCGCTCTCCCCAATAGCCCCGCCAACTTGTCCTCCCCAAATAATTATCAAATAAAGCGCTATACCAAATGCAACGATTATTATTATTGTTATTATTACGCGTGGTGTCTGCGGTCAACGGCCTTTTTCGGGGGAAGGAAGGAAGGGGGGGGGGGTTCAGCCGTGGGGGTGTCCGACACCCAAACAACAACAACAACAACAAGATTGCATTTGTAGAGCGCCCTTTCACGTCGGGGGGGACATCCCGAGGCGCTGGACAGTTGGGTCGGGACCCGAGGGAGCGCGAGGAGGGGGGAAACGGTCAGCGTGAGGCTAGGGGAAGGGAGGGAGCGAGGAGGGGGTAAATGGTCAAGGGGAGGGGAAGGGAGGGAGCGAGGAGGGGGGAGACGGTCAGGGGGAGGGGAAGGGGAAGGGAGGGAGGGAGCGAGGAGGGGGGGAAACGGTCAGCGTGAGGGGGAGGGGAGGGGTAGAGAGTCGAGAGGGGAGGGGAAGGCACGGCGGCGGAAGAGCCAAGTTGGGATCTTCCATTTGCCTCCCACCAGCAAACCCCCCCCCACCCCCACACACACCCCCACACCCCCACCCACACACACACCCCCACACAGAGAGAGGTGGGGGGGAGGGGGCGAGTGAGAACAAAGGAGCGCTCCGACCGGTAGGCGGCGCTGTGGCGGTGCTTTTTTTTAAAAAAACCGCACGACGACGCGCCCTCCACCCACCACCGACACACCCCCCCCCCCCCACACACACACACCCCCACCACCACCACCAGGTGGCGCTCTCTCTCTCTCTCTCTCTCTCTCTCCGTTGCCGGCCGGCAGGCGGCGCTGTGGCCGCGGCGCGCGCAGTGGTGAAGCCGGACCGTTTGTACGGGTTCGCTGTGTTCCGGGGGAGGGGGGTGTGAGGGCAGGAAGGCAGCGAGGGAGGGAGGGAGGGAGTGGGGGTGACGCTGAGAGCCGCCGCCGCTCGCGCCGCCGCCGCTTCTTCTTCTTCTTCTTCTTCTTCTTCCTCCTCTCGTTCCAGTCGGTCAAGTTCAGCGCTGGTGACGGAGCCGCGTCCTGTCTGAGGTAAAAGAGGATGGCGGGGGGGGAGGGGAGGGGGGGGTGGGGGGGGGGAGAGGGGCGACCGCTCGCAGCGCCCCCGTGGGTGAGGGGGTTGCGGGTGAGGAGGGGGTGAGGCCCTGGTCGATGGCGGGAAGGAAGGAGAGAGGAGGGGGGAGAGGGGAGAGAGAGAGAGAGAGAGAGAGGGGGAGGGAGGGGGAGGGAGGGGAGGGAGGGAGTGGGGAGGGAGGGAGTGGGGAGGGGGAGGGGAGAGGGGAGGAGGGAGGGAGGGAGTGGGGAGGGAGAGGGGAGGGGAGGGGAGAGGGAGGGAGGGAGGGAGGGAGTGGGGAGGGAGAGGGGAGGGGAGGCCCCCGGAGCCGCCGTGACAGGAAACGCCGCGCCAGGACGTCAGACAAAGGAAAGCTCGAGCGGGAGAGAGAGAGAGAGAGAGAGTGTGTGTGTGTGAGAGGAGGAGGAGGAGGAGAGGGAGGGAGGGAGGGAAGGAGAGAGAGAGGGGAACAAAGGGCTGCGGGAGGCCAGGACCCCCCCTCCTCGCTCTCTCTCTCTCCTCTCCCCCCCACTCCCCCTCCCTCCTCCCACGGGGAGGGCCTGGAGCTGAGGCCGCGTTACCGGGGCAACAGCGCAGCGAACCTTCGCAAACATCACCCCCTGTCCTCCCCCCACTCCCCCCCCATCGCTCGGGGCGGGGACCGCCCCCCACCCCCACCCCCACCCCTACCCCTGTGTGAGGGACGGGCGCTCTACACTGTATACATCCAAACAGCAGTAGCTGTTGTTGTAGTTGTGGTGGTGATGGTTGTTGTTGTTGTTGTGGTGGTTGTTGTTGTGGTGGCGGTGGTGGTTGTTGTTGTTGTGGTGATTGTTGTTGTTGTTGTGGTGATGGTTGTTATTGTTGTGGCGGTTGTTGTTGTTGTGGCGGTGATGGATGTTGTTTGTGGTGGTGATGGTTGTTGTTGTTGTGGTGGTGGTGGTGGTTGTTGTTGTTGTTGTGGTGGTGATGGTTGTTGTTGTTGTGGTGGTGGTTGTTGTTGTTGTGGTGGTGATGGTTGTTGTAGTTGTGGTGGTGGTGATGGTTGTTGTTGTTGTTGTGGTGGTGATGGTTGTTGTAGTTGTGGTGGTGGTGATGGTTGTTGTTGTTGTGGTGGTGATGGTTGTTGTTGTTGTTGTGGTGGTGATGGTTGTTGTTGTTGTTGTGGTGGTGATGGTTGTTGTTGTTGTTGTGGTGGTGATGGTTGTTGTAGTTGTGGTGGTGGTGATGGTTGTTGTTGTTGTTGTGGTGGTGATGGTTGTTGTTGTTGTTGTGGTGGTGATGGTTGTTGTTGTTGTGGTGGCGGTGATGGTTGTTGTTGTGGTAGCGGTGAGGGTTGTTGTTGTAGTTGTGGTGGCGGTGATGGTTGTTGTTGCAGTTGTGGTGGCGGTGATGGTTGTTGTTGTTGTTGTAGTTGTGGTGGCGGTGAGGGTTGTTGTTGTAGTTGTGGTGGCGGTGATGGTTGTTGTTGTAGTTGTGGTGGCGGTGAGGGTTGTTGTTGTAGTTGTGGTGGCGGTGGTGGTGAGGGTTGTTGTAGTTGTGGTGGCGGTGAGAGTTGTTGTCGTTGTGGTGGCGGTGAGGGTTGTTGTTGTCGTTGTGGTGGCGGTGAGGGTTGTTGTTGTAGTTGTGGTGGCGGTGAGGGTTGTTGTTGTCGTTGTGGTGGCGGTGATGGTTGTTGTTGTAGTTGTGGTGGCGGTGAGGGTTGTTGTTGTAGTTGTGGTGGCGGTGAGGGTTGTTGTTGTCGTTGTGGTGGCGGTGATGGTTGTTGTTGTAGTTGTGGTAGCGGTGAGGGTTGTTGTTGTAGTTGTGGTGGCGGTGAGGGTTGTTGTTGTAGTTGTGGTGGCGGTGGTGGTGATGGTTGTTGTAGTTGTGGTGGCGGTGAGGGTTGTTGTTGTAGTTGTGGTGGCGGTGAGGGTTGTTGTTGTAGTTGTGGTGGCGGTGATGGTTGTTGTAGTTGTGGTGGCGGTGATGGTTGTTGTTGTAGTTGTGGTGGTGGTGATGGTTGTTGTTGTAGTTGTGGTGGCGGTGAGGGTTGTTGTAGTTGTGGTGGCGGTGGTGGTGAGGGTTTTTGTTGTAGTTGTGGTGGCGGTGAGGGTTGTTGTTGTAGTTGTGGTGGCGGTGATGGTTGTTGTTGTAGTTGTGGTGGTGGTGAGGGTTGTTGTTGTAGTTGTGGTGGTGGTGAGGGTTGTTGTTGTAGTTGTGGTGGCGGTGAGGGTTGTTGTTGTAGTTGTGGTGGCGGTGAGGGTTGTTGTTGTAGTTGTGGTGGTGGTGAGGGTTGTTGTTGTAGTTGTGGTGGCGGTGATGGTTGTTGTAGTTGTGGTGGCGGTGAGGGTTGTAGTTGTGGTGGCGGTGAGGGTTGTTGTTGTCGTTGTGGTGGCGGTGGCGGCTGCTGTTGAATCTATAAGTAAAGGGGTTCAGTTTTGTGGAGTGTTTACATTGAGGCGCCTTCTCCCCTTCCCTTTCTTGTTGTTGTTGTTGTGGGGGAGGGGTGGCGTTGGGGTGAGGGAAGGCGGAGAGGTGGGAGGGAGACCAAAGGTACGGTCGAGGGGGAAAGGTCTTGAGACCGGCCTTGAAGGAGGCAAGAGATGAAGTGAGGCGAAGGGACCGTGGGATGGAGTTCCAGAGTGTGGGGACAGAGAGACTGAAAGCCCGGCCACTGATGATAGGGCGGGAGACACGGAGGGGACCGGAGCCCGATGAACGGAGGGAGTGGGACGGCTCGTAGGGCGTCAGCAGGTCAGAGAGGTAGGAGGGGGTAAGGCCATGGATGGTCTTAAAGGTGAGGACGAGGATCTTGAACTCGATCCTCTGGGGAATGGAGAGCCATTGGAGTCGGGCGAGGGTGGGAGTGATGGTGCGCGAGAGGACACGAGCTGCAGAGTTTTGGATGATCTGCAGCGTGTGAAGGGAAGAGTTGGGAAGGCCGACGAGGAGGGAGTTCCCGTAGTCGAGCCTTGAGGCGACGAGTGCATGGGTGAGGGTTTCAGCAGCCGGAGGGGTGAGGCAGTGGCGGAGTCTGGCAATGTTGGAAGGATGTCATCAACGATTTCTGTGCCAGGAGAACGACGACGACGACAACTTGTATTTCGCTGTAAGCGCCCCTCACGCAGGGTTAGGGTCTCTGTGTCGGGAGACAACCTCTCAAAGCGCTGAGCAATTCCAGAACCAGCACTCGCTGCTGGAAGCCGTGTTGAATTCACTTTGCGGTGTATCCCATGAAGCGCTTTGAGACGTCTCGAAGGCGCGATGAGGCGCTATAACAAGTGCAAGGATTATTATTGTCGCTAAAACAAGGAGCGTGAATGTATTTAAGGGGAAACGCGATACATGAGGGAGCAGGGTAATGGAGCGTGGAGTATAAACACTGACATGGACTAGTTAGGCCAAATGGCCTGTTTCTGCGCTGTACTGTTTCGGTAAATTATTATTATTAATTTATACAAATTTTGGATGATGGGGCTGTGAGAGTAATCTCGTCAATGCTGGGAAATGCAATGCAATTTACACTTGTATAGTGCCTTTCACGTCGGGAAGACATTCCAAAGCGCTGGACGGCGCTGGATAACGGAAAGCACACGGTCAGAGAGCCGTGTTTTGAGCTGTACCTTGAAAGAGAGCTGCGAGGGAGCAAACCGCCTGCTGGGGAGTGGAGTTCCAGAGAGTGGGCACCGAGCGATTGAAAGTGGCTGTGGGCATAGAGGGGGGAAGCGGAGTCAAAAGACCTGATCCACACGTTTGTGTTTCCACGCAGATATCTTTGGTAAAGATGTTAGTATTAAGTGGCATTTAATTTAGTGGAACATTCAGGGAACATTCATCTACTGGTCTGTGTTGGGCAAAGGTACATTACAACAACAACAACAACTTGCATTTTGTTGCTCCTTGTTTGTTGAAACATCTCAAAGTGTTTCTGCTTTGAGATGTGTTCGCTGTGGTAGATGGCAGTCCATTCTAGAACAGTTAACTCCAAAATCTACGTTTATCTTTTTTGTACGGTGCAAGAGAATAGGATTAAGCACTTTATTTTGTTTGGTCTGCTGAATAGTTATAGTTTTATATAAATTTAGAAGTTAGGCTTTATAGAATCCCAACATTACTGTACTAATAGGTGATTAAGTGCTCTGGGACGCTGTCACACGTGAAGGGTGCTTTATAAATGCTTGTTCATGTTGATTGGTTTCCACTTTAAACTCACATTTCCCATCTCCTTGGCCAATACCTACAGAGCCACTTTAAACATCCAGTCCTGCAAGTATCAGACTGGATCAAATGTGATTACCAAAATATAATCGAGAATCTTTGTAGCCTTTACAGAGGTGATATGAGTGGGTGACCTCCTGGTTTCCTGTTAAGTTTTTCATTTGATCTTTTCAACGTTGAAGGTAACCTTCATTCAGTTGCTGTCCAATTCTGTCCTCCTGGCTGAGTTGATGCTTTAAAGTTTTGTTGAATATCGTAGCATTTATAGTGTTCTAGTTCTTTGAGACGCAGGCCATCACATGTTGACCCGTTTGCTCTGAAGCCAAATTGGCACAGTTATTGGATTGCTTTGAGATGTTCTTATTCATTTTCGTTTTGATCCTTTAATAAAAATGACCATAAATCAGATGTTCTCGGGGTTGGAGTTTGATGCCGTCCTGTGGAAGAGCAGGATATTTCTTACTCTCCTTTCCAAGAGGACAATGCTTGTTGGCAGTGACTGCTGAAATGGATGAGCCAAAGGAACAGCTGGTTCTTGCTGCCTTTCTGTTGCTGAAAATGTGATGTTTAGCAATTCTTATTTCTTTGCAGTTCCAAAAGAAAGCAGTTGAGCAAGTATATAAATTGTTTGGAAACAAGACAATAGAGGCAAAAAAAAACATTGGGCTATTTGGTGTACAATTTCTAGTTTCTAAATGTAGTTTAATTTCTTCTCTTTTTTTTTCCCCCCCTCACCACTTTTTGCGTCCTTCTCTGCTGTCGGGACAGGCTCAGAGGCTTGGGCCCTGCTTGTGTTGTGCTTTAGTTTCTGTGTAGTTGGCGTGGAGGAGTTTTTTTTTCTTTGGGGATGGGAATGACGTTAGACAGAATGGCTAAAACTCAAAGGTAAAATTAATTGTGAATTAACAAAGGGGTATTTTCAGCCTCAATGACTGGAACTTTGCTCTGTTGCCAGTCTTGACAATGTCAGTCTCTCTGTAAGTATTGTATTGCCTGGCTGAAGAATGTCAGCGACTGGCTAAGCAAAGCAATACAAAGTACAGCTCGACTTCAGCTGAGCAATAAATCCGGGCCCTGGGCCAGATAGGTCAGAACAGACTTGGGGATCAGTAATGAAGGTTTATGTGACATTATGTGCAATTAGATTAATCTGAAGTTTCGGGACTGCAATGCTGTGATTTCAGGGTTTATGTACAAATTAACTGTAGGTGTGTATAGGAGTGCCAATCACTTCTGTTATATAAATTATAAAATAAACCCAGCAGCAGCACATTAACAATAACTAGGCTTTTTATTTTTCAATTGATGGATATCTGCGATCATTGAAGACACAGTCCTTAATTAGCCGTTTAGAAAACAAACTGCACAAAAAACATTACATGTTGGTTGTGTTGTTTAATTGCTGTTAATGGGTGGTTTTGTCATCAGTGAAGTGACATTGAGGAGTTATTTAACTATGAAGGAGCTGAATAAACTCAATGCTGAGTTGAGAGGGCGCCACAGGCCATCTGTTGTCCCGCATCAGTTGGTAGCATTCTGTTACTGAATCAGAAAGTTGTGGGTTCAAGCCCATCTTCAGGCCTTTGATTTTATAGTCTAGGTTGGCACTTCCGACTGGGGGGAGCAATACATTGTTTGAGATGCCGTCTTCCAGATGAGATGTTGAACTGAGGCCTGGCTGTTCAGTCGGACGTTAAAGATCCCATGGCACTGTTGAAAAAGGGAACGAGTTTCTCCTGGTATCCTGGCCAATAAGACCTCAAATAAAATTGGGCATTCTATAAATCACGAGGGATGGAAAGGAGAAAAGGAATCTTCCATTTGGAGTTCTTCTGATTAGGGATCTCTGAGAAGCTTGAAGGTGAGGACAGGTCAGAGCCCTCTGACATTGCTCTGGTACACAGTACCACTGTTGAGAGTTAGAGCTCACTATAGAGGATTGAAATCAAGCCTAGGAATGAATGAAGCTTCAATCCCAAACTTTTGGGGGCACTAAAGGTTTCATATTGCTTTAAACTTTTGCAGAATAAGGCAATTTACAGCAGTGTAAGGTAGTTGGTGGATGAGGGCTCCTTTGTGTGCAGTCTGTTTAAGACTCCATATTCCACATGATTTTCCAAGTACAGATCAAATACTCGCTTTCCATGGAAGGGACGCAAACAATTTAGATCTGAGATTTCCGTAGGGAGTGCGACAGAAGGAAGGGACTTGAGAAATATAAAACTATCTGTTAGTATTATACTTCTTGTTTTCACTGAACTGTAAACGTTCTGGGAACATTGTGAAATGTTATCAGTTACTGGAAGTTACTGAATGTTGCTAGAAATAAATGCCAGGGTTTTATCTGCAGTGATTGCATGAAATTGCAAGCCCTGGGTAAACTAATAGGATAGTAATTTGAGTAGCCGCTGTGTGTTGTATAATGAGTGTTTTTACTACATCCAACAACAACAAAATTACATTTGTATAGCGTCTTTCACGTTGGGAGGACGTCCCAAGGCGCTGGACAGACAGAATTACGGACCATGAATGAACTTAAGGAATCAAGACACTTTCTGTATCAGCAACCTTTTTTGAAATGGATAAATTAATGTTTCGTGTACATTTTAGTGTTGTTGCTGTGTTGATCTCAATTCCACATCATTGAGAGACTGACTGCTTCTAGTTGTTGTTCTGCAGTATAAGCGCAAGATCAATCTAATTTCCTCAGGTTAATTGTAGTAAGCCGTCAAGGAAGTTTCGGTGAGTTTGGGAGAGGGTCAGGTTAAGTAACCCGTAATGAGCTCTGATCTCCTGAGAGAGTGGGCACTTAAGTGTCTGAAAGTCTGTCCGCTGATGGTGGGCTGGATAGAGCGGTGGATGTGGAGTAGCCCCAAGTAAAGGCGATATCTGGGTTGGTAAGGGTGGCTGAAGGTTGCAGAAGTTGGGTGGGTTCTTAAGATGTCCAATCCGTGTCCTATCTTGGGATGCAGATGACATAGACGTTACTGATGACCCAACCGAACTCCGATCTTGCAAAAGACCTTCTTAATTTGCCTATTGGCACAAAGATAGCCGGAGTAGATTCTTATATGCTGCAGCGCGAAGGGCTTTGTGTTTTTCCACAAAGAGCTACAGCTTGTTTCGAGAAAGCCAAAGGTGGCGCTTTTTGAATTTTGTTGAATTCCGAACGTGTCCTACTGCCTCGCTCCCCGGCGTCAGGATGGAATGAAAACTTGTGCAGTTGTTGTTGTTCATAAAGTAGGAAGAGATCTGAAATCGTGGCAAGGATCTGTTGTTCCTTTCTTTGCAGCCTTGGTCTCTCTGCTGTGCCGACACTGACAGCACACAACAACAACAACATTTATTGAGCGCCTTTCACGTCGGGAGGACGTCGCAAGGCGCTGTACAGTTGGGTCAGGACCCGAGCAAATGGTCAGGGTGAGGGGAGGGAAGGGAGGGAACGAGGAGGGGGTAGAGAGTCGAATCCTCGAGTCCCCACACGAATCCTCGTAAGAGTTAACAGAATCATTTTCGCTCTTCACTCCTGTAAAGTGAATACTTTTTAAGAAGCTTTCGGCATTTATTTTTGTAGCGTTCGGTTAATATAATTATACGCCTCACTTCTGGGAGGGGTGCAGCTAGGATATTGCTGTGATGTGGAGGGCTAATGTTTCTGCTGTCCCAGAACGTTTTGTGCCGTTCCATTTGCGGAAAAAAAATCATTGCGGAACAATGCAAGTGGAAAAGGAGAAAAAGACACGATAATTAGAAGGCAAACCTGTGAATTCATAAAAGGAGGGATAAAATGTACGATATTTGCAATCAATTAAAGGACTGTGTTTAGTTTAATTTTTTCAGGAGGGCCCCCGTGTGTTAGCATGATGAAGTGATTAAGTTGTTAGTGGAATTGGGGGAAGGTAGAACCTCTGTTGGTGGTCTGAGTGAGTGAGGGCTTTGGGATCGTTTGGGTTGAGTTTGGCACTTCATCTAGAAAGTGGTTACTCTCACTCCCTTAGTTCGGATGTGTCCACACGAAGGGTATTATCCCACAAAATATACAGTCAATTCGCTTTGCAGTATGTTCTGCGGTGCGCTTTGAGACGTCTCGAAGAGGCGATAAGGCGCCAATGCAAGTTTAATGTTCCGAGTGAATTCAGAAACTGTTTGCACGTGTAAATATCTACCACATTACAGTATTTAATTTAAACTGTTGTTGCAGATATAGAAGTACAAAAGTCACAACGCTCGCGTGACGTTAGACATTTTTATTTTCCTCCAGAGCAAGTGCTTCCCTATTTATCGCCGGGTGGGGCAGACTATTAAGTACAAAATCATTAAACTCATAATGGCAAAGTTTCAACATTTCATCTCTCTGTTTAATATGTAAAGCTTGTAAACCGGCTGATTCTCTCAAACCCCATCTGAAAGTACGAGGTATGCACGCACGCACATACACACACACACACACACACACAAACACTGAGAGCGATGAGTAATGAGTGGGTGCTAATGAAAATCCCTTGATCTAGCATTATTCCCCCATAGAATTGAATCTTAACAATGTTTTTTTAATTCGCCTTCAGTGAGTCACTTGTGGGTGGAACTGGGAGTTCTGGAGAACAAAACACAACCACTTATATAATGCCCTTTTCGAAAGAACACGATAAAAGCAATTCCGCAGAGCGACCATCGGCTTGCATTTGGTAGTGATCCCTGGGTTTCCACCTGCTGTTACATAAGCAGCCTGATTTGTGACACTGATCTTGGCAAAGAGGAGTCTAGCGAAGGGATTAAGACTTCAAAGCCTATCTGCAAGTAAATAAGGTTATATAACGGCGTACAGTCTGTTCAGCAGGGGCACGCAGCGCCTTCATCACAGAATAATTTGCCACCTTCACGTGGCGCAGGTTCACTGTTTAGCACCGGCACTAAATGCGCTTTGATAGAGTTTGGATCTTATGTACTCTGCAGGGGTCCAGCGAAGAAAAATCAGTTTGTTCCTTAGAACCCAATGAGTCCAGCAGGCGGCTAATAAGCAATAATAATCCTTGCATTTGATATAACCCCGATGACAAAGAAACCCCCCCACCCCCACTTGGAATAGGATAGACATCAGTACAAATGAGTGATGTACAACCTCTGCCTCAGGCTGGTAAATACCAAGTACTTTGGCCCCTCCTTGCAAGAGAATCACCCCAGTAGTGCACTGGCGTTGCCCATAAAAGTGGGGTGAACCACGGTGACAGGGCAATACAGGAGCCGGGGCCTATCCAATCCGTACATCATTACAAGCCGCAGTGACTGGTATTAGCTGAGTCAGTACGCAGATGGCTGTTGTATTGAAGTGGGAGGGTGTGTGGTGTGGGAAGCAGATAGTTTTGCAGTTGATGCAGGCAAAGGCATTGGTTAGCATTTTGCTCCCTGAATACTCATAAGACGACTTGTTTGACTGCAGGGTTTTTTTTTTGCATGAGTGGCCTGAGGTGGGGGGTGACGCACAGGAAAGCAGACGCAGTGCAACTTGTACGTCCCAGTGAATACGGGCTGTGGAATGTTTCAGGAAGGAAACTGATGCGTTTCTGATTAGGGAAGGAGTAGTGGGGGGGGGGGGGGGAGGATACTGGTTCCACAACAACTCATTGAGGAGAGGACGGTTTGTAGACACTGCTTCACGAAATTTACTTTAGTGTGACCAACTCGGCAGGTCGAATGGCCTTTTTCTCAATCTGCACACGCCAAATAGATGGACTTAGCTATAAGAGAGAATTTGAAGGTGCTGGCTTGTGGTTTGGTCCGAGTCGATCCATATACTGATGCGCGTTTCCCCTCTGTGTTTGCAACTCTGCCGATATTCAAATGCCGGCCCATCTCTTTGAATGAGTCAGTCTCTCTATATTTGCACGTGCTGAACTCCCCGAGCAAACAGACCTCTGAGGTCGCATGGGCCAGTGCCATCCAAGGCTGGGAGGCAAATAAGGAGACGTAGAAAATTATATGGAAGGAATCCTGTGAGGGAATTGTGGGGCAAAAAACTGTCACATCTGACGGATGTCTCGAAGCACCTCACAGGGTTTACTGTAATATGTAGTGACTGTATTTTGTTGGTGAGCAAGGCAGTTAATTTCCACGCAGCATTATTAAGGGTAACCACTAAACATTTTATAGATACGAAAACATTGAGAAAGAGGGTAGTAAAGTAGGTCCGCCACTGTGAAGCGCTGAAACATTCACCTACCGCATGAAGGAAGTTATATAAGTATAAGTTGTTGTTAGACTAAACAGCTGAGGTCTGACCAAAAGCTTTCTCTTTCCAATCCCACCCCCCCCCCCTCCATCCCACTTCAACTTCAAGCTTTGGTTGCAGATTTAATTATTTGAAATTTAATGGAAATAGGATTATGTGAATTATTTTCTTGGAAGACTGAGCGAGAGATTCAGAGTTCCTTGAATCTGTGATTAGCCACTACGTTTATGAATGTTTTTAATAATACAGTATGGGTAAAGTGTTTTTTTTTTAAATGATTGCAGATTAGCACTCTGACAGAACGGAATTTCACATTATGCAGGGATTATTGTGGCACCGTTACATTTTGCACTAGCCTTTTATCTTTTAAGCTTTCAACGTAAATATTTATTTGCCTAATGTTCACTTCACTGGATGGTGGCAAAAGATCTTCTCCTCCAGGTCTTGATTTGATTACTGTGGATAGACTTGATGGTCAATCCTGCAGTTTATGATAACAATGAACCCCTTTTGTCTGTCTTACTCCTGGAAATCTGGCCCATATATAAACCATCCTCTTGATTAGATTTCAGCTTGTAGCTCAAATCCAGAATATAAAGCATTCAAACCTTTGATTAGGTTCCAGTCTAACCCGCCCCTGGGATCAGTTTGCTTATAAATCATCTGATAGCCCTGATTAGATCTTTAATCATTAAGATCCTCACCCTTGTATTCAAGCCCCTGCACTCCTCTGCACCCCCCTACCTTTCTGACCTCTCTCCTCAAAACAGTACCGTTGCCTCTGTTCCTCCGGGTCTGACCTCCTCCTCGTCCCTCGAGTCCTCCGCTCTACCTTCGGCGGTCGTGCCTTTAGCCACTAAGCCCCGAGGCTCTGGAACTACCTTCCCATTTTCAGGTCTCTGCTATAGACCTTGCTTTTTGACCGCCCCTTTGGTTTCCTCCCCCTCCCACCGGCTCGGTCCCGGGATCCGTTACTGTAAAGCGCTCTAAGACGCCGTCTGGCGTGGAGGGCGCTATATAAATCCAAGTTGTTGTAATCCATTGCACACCACTTTTTCATTTCCTCTCCTCCTCCTCCCGACCACTAAATGTACTTCTGTCGCTTTTGCTGTTGGAAAATAAAACTCTATTTTCATAGTCCCCTAACACAAAGGGGGAAAAGCATGGAGTTGAGCCCGACCACCATATCAACCAACATTATAAATCAATTTGTTTCTCGCTGGTGTAGAATGCACTTTTCTTTGCCTGAATTATTATTATAATAATAATAATCCTTGTATTTTATATAATGTCTTATCATGTCGCTGAGATGTCTCAAAGCGCCTCACAGATGATATTATTGTGGATTGACTATATTTTGTGGGCAAAACATTAATACCATTGTTATTGAAATGCAGAGGAGCTGACACCTGTGTTTTCAAGGATCGAGCACAAAGTGTGCTGAATTATAGTGTCTGATTTCAAAAGATTCTGTCCAGGTTTCTCATTGCAGAGTACCAGTAGCACTGATAAAAATAATTGGCACGATATGTAGGCTTCATATCCTGTACTTTCTTTTGCTGTACTGACCTGCTCTTTGCTGTATTACACTTGCATTACACATGTAGGAAGCAGCTTTTGGGATCGTCGTATTTCCCACCCAGCCACTACAATTTTCCAGATACTGTACTTAAACTTAGGTTGCACCTCATTTGATCTCCGCATGCTGTTGAAGTTTGCCATAATTGTTGAAGCAAATTCGGTCTGCGGGCTACAGTACTGTATAGACCTTGAACTAATAATAGGCTGATGTTTTGTGCAGATCCACAGAGGGAGGCAATGAGTTTGTAATGCACAGTGTCTGCTGCTGTGGGCCATGGAGGACGAGTCTATCTCAGGGAGTGATCCAGATGTGGAGTCGGAGGATGTGGAAGAGGAAGAAGAGGAGATGGAGGATAACGATGGCGATGACGAAGATGACTTGGAAGAAAACGGTGAGTGAACACCTTGGATTAATTCCCGTAACATGGCTTTGCTCGGAAGATTATTATTTATTTAAATAGCATGGTACAGGTGTTGGACTGAAGACCAAGTCATGCCTTGCAGCTGTTTGGAGTCAACAGCAACAATGAGTCACAAATCCTAACAGCTAGTAATAGATGACCTTGCAAGTACTCCAGTATCCTCCAAACATTGTGGAATATTGTTCAACGAAACCCAGCAATATTTTGGTAGAAATATTTACTCATGTTCTGTTCTCCGCCGTCCTGAATGCCTATTACTTCTGAGAAACGGAAAGTAAAAAGAAATTTCCTGTAAGAGGTAATTTCTGAGTTAAAACCCAGGATTCTGACGCAGCTGTTGGATAATCCAGCCAGTCTGAGGGTAGGCAATTACACGTGAGTTTATAAAACGTGACGTACTGTCCCATGTTGTATTAATGATTCAGCATGGCTGACTCCCCTCATTACACTTGCCTGTGTGCGGAGCCTGTAATTTGTAGTTTACGATTTTGTAGTTTGCTGCTTTGTGCATCTTGCAAACAGCCTTTTGTCCATGGGCTGTTTACCGGTTGTTGAACCAGACATAAGTTGAGAACATCATTTTGGCAGCAGCAGCATTGGGCAATGCTTGTCCAGCTAGGATCAGCCTATACATTAGCACTTTAGCTTGCAGGGTTTTAACAGAAGCTGAATAGAAAGAATCCCTGCCCTCACTGTCTGCCCACCCCTCTTCAAGTCCTGCTGCTCTTTCAGTCGTGAAGGTGACTCAGTCTCCAGGGTGCTGAGCAATAGGTCAGTGTAACCAGAACCCTCCCTACCCTACCTCCAGTCGCCTCCACCTTTTACCACAAATCCAGCTCACTGCTTGGCCCCGGACCTCACAATGAACTGATGAAAACCCATCTGCTGCAAACAGAGGAGCATGAAGGAGAATGGTGTCATCAGAATTTTCTTGTTGAATTATAACTATATACATGCTCTTGTCCCACCCCTTCCCATAACCTTATTTGTGTGAGGATCTATATTCGCACACACACTCCTGTTGCATAACCAGGTTATGTAAGGAGTGAGCAGCAGTCGTGCCCATGACACCTCATGTTCCAGGCATGCATTACATTGTGGAAGATTTATTTTGCAAGAAATGCAGTTTAGAGACTTTAGAGAGGGGGAGTGTGGCATAAAAAAAGAGAGAGTGGCAGAAAAAGAGAGTGGCCTAGAGAGAGAGGGGGGGAGCGGAGCGCGCATGGAGAGACAGAAGAGAATAGCACAGAGCGAGGGAGAGTGGCACAGAGGAAGAGAGGTGACGGGGAGCAGAGGGCGGGATGACAAACAAACAAAAAAACAGGGAATGGCAGAGAATGAGTATTTGTAAATTGGCACAGGTTTGAACGTTTGTCAGATTGTATAAAATCAAAAATGGAGTAATTTGCAGAATTCTGTGAGTTAGAATTGAGTCTGTGTGATTCACCTGTTGCCTAGATATTGGTGCTGTGATGTACGACTTCTGACTTCCCCTTCCCTCCCACCACACTAACTGCACACTGGCTCCTGACATCCAGTGTCTGTCTCGTGTATAACCGCTGTGACTTTTGACAAACGTAACATTAAACTCAAAGACCAGTCTACAACTTCAAACAAACAATTTGTGTGTGGTCGAGGTCATATTTTACTGTCAGAGTAGAGAGAAAAGAGATTCTACGTTTTATCTGTCAACAAAGAAGTGTCTTATTGTCTACACTACATTTGTAATTAAGGATTTGTGCAGAAAGACTCTGTGTCACAGAGATGTAAGCTCCACACAAAGCTGTTGAGTTAAAAACTCAGGAGGAGGAGGGGATAAAGTACTGCATTAAAAAGAATTGTCAGCTTGAAGTCTGCAGCTGCTTATAATGGACAAAAAAGACTGAGGTGTCTTATTCATCCGTACATTTTAATGGTTTGATACTGAAATATATTGTCCTGGTAGGATTTTTTCATTGTACTTAAAGTAGTCAGTGGAACAAATAAAGCAATGGCTGATCTGTATCAGTGCAGATTGCATTGATGGCTGGGTTTAGGACTCCGCTTGCTCCGCAACAGCCATGGAGCAGCCACCATCATTCATTGTGGAAGATTTAACAATATTAATAATAATCCTTGCATTTGATACGGGGCTGTATCACGTCTTTGGGACGTCTCAAAGCGCTTCATAGAATATACAGTAAAGTGGGTTGACTGTATTTTGCGGGCGAATATTTTGTACTTGGACCTCATCCGTGGTTACAGCATCAGGAGCTCTGGTCTTAGAAGTCGGCAGAAAGATCTGATTAGTCTAAATCCAATGGGTTTAACAACCTGGGAGCCTGGTCATTAAAATGTTTCAGTAGGTTCAGCTTCACAGGTCTTACTACAAGTGGACAGAAGGGTGGCGAGAGAGAAAGAGAGAGAGGGAGAGAGGAGCAAGACTTGTCAGATGTCTGGTGCAGTATAATCAGTCCAGAAAAAAGTTGACCTGAGTTTCAGATTTAGGGACGGGCTGTGATTGCTAGTGCGTCCACACCTTTCTGTGATGTTCCCCCAGGAGTTTTTTTTTCCGCAGTTATCTCTGGTGGCTTTGCAGCCTTTTTAACTTCAAAGTAAAGCTGAACCTTGGCGGGTGTGACTGCCTTTAGAGCGTTCAAGAGAGAAGGAAAGGGATTTAGCTGTGAAACTGGGCAATTCAGCTGCGTTCTTCCTGCTGTCTGTGTGGATGCCCCTTGGCAGAGCCCTAGTTTGAGTGTGAAGCGTTATGTAAGGTGCCTTTGTTCTTGCTGCTGCCACAAGCTTGAATTAATCACAGCCAATGGGTTTGAGTGAATGGGATTGCACTGCGCTGAGATCTCCAACTGGATTGCAGCTCGCAATGTGATAGTGATTCAGCTATTGGCAGTGTGCAGCGATCAGTCCAATTACCGGCACTAACTGGGGCTGAGGGAAAAATCTACATCGCCCGTGGCTGTGAGAGGCACTGAGGAAGGAGCATGTTACTCTTTGATGACAGTCAGGGTCTAACAGGTAAGCACTGCTCGCACTCTCCTTCAGAAAGTCTCTGCCACTTGTTACGTGCACCGAAAGCATTTAAAATGAGCACAGACGCTGATCAGTTTGTACCGTGAACATTTGCCCTGTGCCTGCTTTGCAGCTCTGTGCTGAGGGACCATTATATAACCCAAGTTCTGGGTGAGGTTGAGACCTCTCGCTTGAGCTCAAAAAGTCTTTGCTATCTATCCATTTTTCAAAGCGCCTCAGAAATCTCGGATTTTTAGTCCCATTTTTCCTTTTCTTTCCCACTTCTAATCGCTGAACCTCCCCTTAAGTAACGAAAAGATATCCTTTTGGAGTTTTCCTTCTGTGCGTGAGGAGCGATCATGTGGAACATTGAAATGCTCAACTTTGTAGAATAGAAATAAAGAAATTAACCAAAATGTCTGGAAGTCTCCAAGCAGTGATTTCTGATTATAGAACTGATATCATAGCTTGTTATATAACAACAACACATCATGCTAGCCGTTTGTGGATTTAGCATTGAATAACACTTTTATGTAACAAACGCTTTATACTCTACCTTCCCTTCAACGTCTCTATTACCAACCCCCCCCCCCCCCCCCCGACCCCAATCCCCGTGATGAGCTATTGCTGTAATGCACTTCTCACTGTAACCTAACCAGTGCTACATCTTTATATAGGGGAGATTAATATCAATGGGTTAAAAAAAAATTGCCTCGAGCATAGAATTCTATATCAGTCTCTCTGAAGGAACAAAAATGGAAGGGGGAGAGACACACAGAGAGAGAGAGAGAGAGAGAGTGAGAGAGAATGCTATTGCAAAGCGCAAGAAACTTGATGAAGTTCTAACACCATTGGTGTCAGCCTGGATCAGTTGCCTCTGAGTCAGAAGGTTGTTGATTCATGTCAGCACTTTGAACTCACTGGCTCAAGGTGCCCAACATTGTTTGAGATGTGAGCCTTCAGAGGATATGGTCAAACTGAGGTCAAAGATCCCATGACACTATTTGACAAGAGAGGATGATTTTCCTTATGTCAATGCCAGCAATACCCCAGAAAAAAATGGTCATTCAATTCATGGCTGTGTGTGGGACAATCCCGTTATGCACAATTGAGGGCAGATTCACCTACAAAAACTTTACAGCAAATTCTGTGAAATTATTTGAGAAATCCTCCTTGCCATGAACGGTGATATAACCAAATGTAAGGATTATTATGATTATTATTATTATTATAAATGACAAAACCAGATCTCTTGTGAAAGCGCAGTTCACCGCAGGTCTTGAATACTATACATCTAGATCTGAAAACGTGTGTTACATATTTGTTAATTCCAGTTGATCTAACGATTCCATTCAGTTTCCATTCAGTTTTAAAGTGGGGAGTAAGTGAAGTAGGGGCAAGTAACATGTAGAACATGTGCAAACAGCAATAGTTTCTCAAGTTCAAGGCAGGAGTTTCACTTGGACTGATCAGATATACGTACTACTCTGTGGGAGTAGAAAGAAAAATCTCTGGCTGCTCTTTCTTCCTGAGAATGTTGTCATTTTCCCCTGTTTACTGTAAGATGAAGGTTTGTACATGTTGGATTGACCTTGCAGAACCAAAGCAGCTAAGACCTGCTCTATAGCTCATCGATAAAAGGAGCATGCTTGCTAGTGCTCTGAAATGTGTAGAAGAGTTGGTACGGAGATGCATTTTGGAAGGTTAAAAGGATTCCGAGGCGTGGAACCAATTTGAAACGATGAATTAAAGTCACAGAGAGAATGAAATTGTTTCATGTTCATACCTCCTGCGGTGGATGTGTGCTTCTTCCTGTGTGTGAAAGAGTTACGACTGGAATATGCGGTGCTCTGGATAAAGGAGGTGAAAGTGTGCATCATGTCACCCACAAAATATTCAGCCAATTCGCTTTGCAGTACAATCTGTGAAGCGCTTTGAGACGTCTCGAAGACATGATAAGGCGCCATATCAAATGCAAGGATTATTATTATTGTCTGGTGCCAAAGTATTTCTTGACAAAATGTTGCTGCAGTGGAGTTTCGATGGCATTGTGAGACAGCTATTTCCCATCCTGCTGTGGTCTATATTGGTTGTGTTTGGTTTACTGCTGATTAAAAGTAAACGTATGTTATTTCTCACCAGATGAATCTGAGCCCGCAGCGTTCAGTTCGGAGCATTCTCCACAGCCTGACACCAAGGGATGGAAATGTTCCACTTTAACTACCTCATCACAGAATGAAAAGAAGCGCCTTCGCACCGAGAATGGCAAGAAGAGAAGGCCATCAAAGCCTGGACACATGAGGAGAAACATCCGGTACTGTGACTGCCTTTCCCCTTCCTTCCCCATTTTTCAGGTCACATCTGAAGACCTTCCGATTCGACCGTGCCTACGCTCACATTCCTTTCCTCCCCCGGCTCGGAGTCGTGCTCTGCCACTCTCAAGCGCTCTGGGACACTACCCTGATTGAAGGGCGCTATATAAATGCACGTCGTTTGTCGGTGTCTTCCTAATCTTTCCCATTCAACTCTGGTGACCCTTTTTGCTGAGCTGTTAAACGCATTTTCGTGATCAGTAGCTTTCGCTACCAATTACTGCTGCTGCAAAATCTGACCAAAGACAACCATAAACCCTGCTTCAATGGAAACAAACTTTATTTTTTTAAAAAGTATTATCCTTTATATGAAATAGTTGTGAATGAATGTTATATTTAATTGTCACGCCAGTACTTCCTCCGTGTAGTTGCAGATCCAATAACAACAGCAACAACTACTTGCATTTATATAGCGCCCCACACACAGGATAATGTCCCAGAACACTTGATCTAAGATGAGGTCTAATCAATGGATTCTACGATCTCTCTTGATTTCCATTCTACTATTAGGTACTTTGAAGCCAGAGTGATACATACGTGAGACATCACACGTGCCGCACATTGTATTGTTCTTGCTAACTTCAGAAGGCGCCTTTTGACTCTATTCTTTGGTTTCCTCAGAAAATTACTGCGGGAAGACCAGTTAGAGGCTGGCACCAAAACAGCTCAGCAGGAGGAGTTGGAGAGACTCAAACGGCTTGAACAGCAAAGGAAAGAATTCACGTTACCAACATTACCTTTTGAACTCCTACAAGGTAAGACAGAAAGCATGAACCGAGACACAGATTGTGGTTGTACTCTGTGCTTGTGGGGATTTGCTTTCAGTGAAGGGAATCCTGGTGGGAAGATGTCCTCTCTTTTAGTTAGCACACTGCTGCCCTAATTACTGTGAACCATGATAGTAACTTCAGAACCTTGAATGACGTTTGCAAAGCCCGTCATTGTGTAAACAAGATATGTAACTCCTCTATAAGTTGAATCATAAGACTATTAATGTGAATTTGCTACAGTCAAAATGAGTCTTTGCTGCAACACTCTCCATGATGAAATAGGGATTCCACAGTGCTCAATAAGCACAATGATGTAGTAACATGTCTGAATCCTGAGTCTCTTGCAAGTAGCCTTCCCACGTTTGGTCCACAAAATACACAGTCAGTTCACTTTATAGTATAATCTGTGAAGCGCTTTGAGATGCATCAACGATGTGATAAGGCGCTATATCAAATACAAGTATTATTAGTGTAATAAGTATTACTTAATTATTATAAATATCATATAAGTTCAGATCAACTGTTTCTAAATGTGTTTCTCTATTGTCCCCAGAAACCAATACTCAAACCTTTAAAAAAGAGCCTGACTGGAGGACTGAGGGTGAGTGATATAAAAATACTTTACAGTACTGCTTCTTTTAAGCTTCCCTTTTTAACATGTGTAAATTGCTTAAACATTGGCTGAAAAGCTTCAGGTTTGACACAGTGAGTGTTGTAAGGGTAAGGATAGGAAAGCTAGGAATATCTCTCACTGGTATAAATGGTGGGGGGATTCCTTGTTGCTTTCAAAATTTTGAAGAGGTGGATAGATATTGGATAAAGCTTTCAAGCGCTAAAGGGGCAAGGCGGGTAGTTGGTGTTGAAGTACAGATTAGCCATGATCGTATAGAATGGCGAAACAGGCTTGAGGAGTTGAATGGCCTACTCCTGTTTCTTTGATCCTATATATAAAGAGGGATGGTGATGGGCTTACCCAGGCAAAGATTAAGAGGTACAAGTAGTTATTAGTTTAAAATAAAACTATTGGGACTTACTGGCTGGAAAAAAAATTGGAAACTGCAGAAACGAAAATGAGTGTAAAAGAGCTGACAGTGACCGACTGTTGGACCGACTGTTTCTCTTTTTATACACCCATCCTCAGAGGAAACTGCACTGAAAAAGGAAGAAGATTTACCAGCTGTACCCAGACTTCCAAATCACGAAATCATCTGTGTGGACATCAGCAGTGGGAGTGACGAGGACACAAAGGGAGCAGCACATGTCTTAAAGAATGGTAAGCATCAAACCGACAATGACCGTATTGACTGTTAATCGGAGTTCAAATGCTCTATCATTAGAGAAGAAATATATTGGTGCTTGCTATTGCTTCTGCTCTCGTCCACTTCACCTCAGAGTACGTTACCCCTACAGTGGATAGCATTAGACTTTTCAGCCTAGAAACTCTACTCATTTTGGTTCAAGTACATACATCCATGTATTTGGAAAAAAGTGTCATTTGGAGCGAGCAGGGCAAGGCAAATTGTTTGGTACCTCAGTTTAGCACTGGGATTGCTGACTGCAGGCCTGTGAACCATTGTCGCAGAGGATCTAATTGACAGTCAAATATTCAGTTAACTACTGAGCTACTAAGTGGGAACGACACCCTTAAAAAAGAATGTGTCACTCAATCCACGACTGTTTGGGGGACGCTGCTGTGCGCAATTGGCTGCCACATTCCACCCACAAAATATAGTCAATTCACTTTACAGTATATTCTGTGAAGCGCTTTCAGACGTCTCGAAGACAGGATAGGCGCTATATCAAAAGCAAGGATATATTATTATTAAGGACAAGCATTTTTCTCTATTAAGATAAATAGATATGATGATCATTTACCTTGATGTTACTGTGTGCGTTATACTGTTTGCATGGTTCCTATTCCTTCATTTTGCCCTTTTACCATTCCCGTGTTTCTAGAAGATGTGATTGAGTTGAGCTCAGGGGATGAAGATCAACTGCATATCCTCGACAGCGAATCGAGCAATGAGGAGGAACAGGACGTGAATGAGGAGAGCAACGGAGCGCACGTCAATGATGCTTTGAATCAACCGGATGATCTGGGTCGTGTCCTTGTTAATTTAAACCACCCTCCAAATGAGCAGGACATATTTCTGACAGACCAGCTAGCGAGATCTGTCAAACCACACCAGGTAACAGATATAGGAGATGCTATCGAGTTGCCTGTTTTGTGCCAGGAAGCTTGTTTCTTACTGTAACTGTCCTGCCGTGGAGTGGGTTGGGTCTGTGTAGCGGTCAATCAATCAGTTACTGTCCACTAGTTTACAGAATTCTTCGCCATCACAGCTCTGAACAACATTGGATTACAATTTCAAGTCGGATTTGTAGGTTTGTCAAACTTTACCCATGTGCAAAGCAGTGGTTGATCTATTAAAGCTCTGTATGAAAAGCAGTCTTAATGTGGATCTAACATGATCTAACCAGCAGAGAAACATTTCTGACGTTCTGTGGAAAGCATATTTAGAACACTTATGGGAGAAAGTCACATAACTATCGTCATGTTTAGCATAATCTTCCAAGCAAAACAGTAGAGGCATAGACTCTACAGAATATAATTAGCTATCTTGATGGGAGAGTTAGTAAAACGAAAGGATGATCTTTGGTGGCTTTATTTCAAGTCAGAATCTATTATTATTTTCATAAGGAAAGACTTAACAGCGTACAGTGCTTGAACATACAGTCCTTTTATTTCTGGGACTTGCTTTATTTTTACACTAGGCAGCGACTTTATGAATTGACGCAAAAGGGATCTTAATAGCTTTTATAGCCAGCCATCTTTTGTTCAATCTGTGTCTCTGTTCACCTTTTTTTCTGCCCTCTTTTTCTAATCCTTGCTGCCTCTGAATTTTTTTTCACAACCATCCTCCCCTTATAATATTCACGCTGTTTTACAGCTTTGCTGTATTAATGATTTGATATTAATGAGCTCACTTGTCAGGTTCTGCTCCGGTGTAAGACTGAATCTTATCTAATTGTGGGCTTTTGTCTTCAACATGGCTCTCCAATACATATAGGTCGGTGGGATCCGGTTCCTGTATGATAATCTGGTGGAGTCGCTGGAAAGGTTTAAAAATAGCAGTGGATTTGGCTGTATTCTGGCCCACAGCATGGGCCTCGGGAAAACCTTGCAGATTGTCTCCTTCGTGGACATATTGCTTCGGTACACGGAAGCACACACTGTTCTTGCTATTGTACCCGTGAGTATTTGCAGACTTAATGTCAAATGCCCTGACCTTAGACTATCTCTTGGCAAACTTTAGGAGAAGTGAGAAAGAATTGTTACCCCAGTGACAGATTCTGTATTATAATAGCCTTTCTTTGTGTGTCTGCTCTGCCTTGTGCTACATGACTTGTTAGCTGTTTTATTACATAGGGTTGCTTCATTTACAGAGTTTATCAGACATTGGGAGCTCCCTATATTGGCTTTCTTATCCTCTAATCTAAAGAGTGTTCTGAGATAACCAGTTCAGTGCTATCAGACTGATGCAGTTAGCAAAGAGCAGACACTAGGTGCAAGATGGGTTTGAGGTGCCTCAGTCAATCTGAGTTTCCTCTTCAATATCTGTATTGGTGCCACTATGCAGGGTTGATGTGGTTGATAGATTTTTGCTAGGCAAGGGTATCCAGGGCTATGGAGCAAAGGTGGGTACATGGAGTTGAGGTACAGATAATAATACTAATCCTTGCATTTGATATAGCGCCTTATCACATCTGCGAGACGTCTCAAAGCTCTTCACAAAACATACTGTAAAGTGAATTAAGTTGTGATACCATTACAATGTCTAAGAAGTCTTAAAGAAATTATGATATTTTGGTGGTGGGTGGGGGGGGGGCATTAGATAATTAGGGTAGTTATCACGACTTTTTGATCACCCTGTAGAATGGCGGCCTATTCTTGTTCCTGCGTTCCCGTGCGGGAGCTATTGCAGCACAAAGATGGTGCTTGTTGATCGGAGTTCTCCTTGAACTGATTCATTCTGCTCGTTTCAGGTGAACACCCTCCAGAATTGGTTGGCCGAGTTTAACATGTGGCTACCACCCGCAGAAGCACTTCCTGCAGATTACAACTCAAACGAGATTCAGCCGAGGGCTTTCAAAGTTCACATCCTCAATGACGAACACAAGTAGGTCCCCTTTACCTTTTGTCTAAAAAAAAGTGTTTGTTTCTTTAAAGTCGAGGTTCTTTGAAGTCTGAGGCCTGGCCTGGGTCCAAAAATAATGAGGGCAAGCAGGAACTCAGTCTCTCTTCACACACACACTGCTCTACAGATTCAGGCCCACAGCTACGTATTGCTAGATATAAATTCTGCTGTTCAGCACAAATGAATTGGAAATGAATGGGGAAGAATACGATTAGGCATGTGGGAGAATTAAATCAACATGACCATCATGGTTGATGATATCAGCACACGTCTGCAGCATTTCCATCTGCTGTTTGATTAGAATTTTAGAGGAATGTACTGTCTGCTATCTTGTCTCCTGCTAAATTGGAGCTATGATAGGGATGGCTGGAGCTCATTTAATTTCAGCATCCACTGCAACTTTCACATTGATTTCTACAGACTAAAGATGTGGGTGTAGTGGGAAACCTATTGCATATATCGTGATTCAGCCGGTCATGATCAGATCTGATTTGTGGTCTATGCAAAAGGACTTATGTATGCCAAATTCTCCTGGTGATATCTGGATGTGTCTATCTGTCTCCTCTATCCCTCCACTTGCCCCTTCCTTCCCCATCTTCAGGTCATGCCTGAAGACCTTCCTGTTCGACCGTGCCTACGGTCACCTCCCCCCAGACTCGGCATCATCCTGTCCTGCGCTCAGGGACGCAAATTCTAACCGCAAGTTGTTGTTGTTGTCGGCTCAGACACCAGTCTCGGTATAAATTTCCATGAAGTTGGGAGGATAGCAGCCGATGGCTGTACTCGGTAGAAGATTTTCATTGGAGCAGAGTTTCAGAGTGTCAGCCTGAGGCACATGTCGGTAGCTGCAGAGTTGGTTACTTACAATTCTTTTGTGAAATAGAGCAGAGTGGATGCCCGTGGACCAGCTAACTTAAGGAGGAAGATCTGCATTGTATTTAATGTGAATAACTGACCTGCGAATGCTTGCTGCAGTTACTCGTTATAGTGTCTCCCATTAAGGCCATATCCTGCTGTTTGCTCAGGTGCAGGCTGGTGATTATATCTGTCTCTTTCATAATGTATACAGGAGACATTTCTTGTTATTCGTTGCTATAACTGTGGGTATTCAGGGACTTGCTTATGCAGCAGACATTGTGCTATTCTAAGATTTGGAGCATGTTCACAAGGCGACTCTGTCAATGACAAATGGTGTTGTGGCACTGAGGAACCTAAAGAGAGAGAAGAAGAAAAATGACTTGAAACCGGAAAAAAATACTGGAGAGAAAGTAATGTGCAATTTCTGAAAGTGAGAGTTCCTGTGAGCTGTCTGACGCTTGCTCTCTCTCTCTCTCTCTCTCTCTCTCTGTCTGAAGGACCACAACCGCCCGGGCTAAAGTGATCAATGACTGGTCTACAGACGGAGGGGTGATGCTGATGGGGTACGAGATGTATCGGCTGCTATCGTTGAAAAAGTCGTTCGTTACAGGGAGGAGGAAGAAGACCAAGAAACCAGCCGGGCCTGTGATCATTGATCTTGATGAGGAGGACCGGCAGCAGGAATTGCTGAAAGGTATTATAGTACCTGTCTGTCTAGGGCACAGCTGATGACAGACCTACTGATCTGGCTCATTGGCAGGAATTGGACGGACAGACAACAATCACAAAGGAAGAGTCATCGAGACTCCGTGATGGAGTTCCAGAGAGTGAGGGAAGACAGGCTGAAATCCTGCCCGATGGTGGAGCAGGATCATTGCCCGCTGAGCGGAGGATTATTATTAATATTATTGTTAATAGCTGATTATTATTACTTCACAGGCATTGAGAAAGCACTTTCCAGGCCGGGGCCAGATGTTGTTATCTGTGATGAAGGCCATCGCATAAAAAATTGCCACGCCAGCACTTCTCAGGCTCTGAAGAGCATCCGTTCGAGACGGCGAGTCGTGCTGACTGGATACCCACTGCAGAACAACCTGATGGAATACTGGTGTATGGTCGACTTTGTCCGGCCTGACTTTCTGGGCACAAGGCAGGAGTTCAGCAACATGTTTGAGCGGCCGATTCTGAACGGCCAGTGTGTGGACTCGACCCCGCAGGACATTCGCCTGATGCGATACCGTAGTCATGTGTTGCACAGTCTTCTTGAAGGATTTGTACAGAGGTGAGAGTGTGAAAGGGGAATGCACAAACAACCTCCCACCCACACACACACACACACACACAAAGCGGAATGAAACAAAAGTCGCTGGGAACACTCATGGGATCGGTCAGGAAGCATCTTTGGAGAGAGGAAAGTAGGTTAACGTTTCAGGTTGTTTGATCTTCCATCAGAACTCCGTAAACCCAGCGACTTCTGTTTTTATTTCACATTTCCAGCACCTGCAGTATTTTGCCTTTTTATTACAACTTCAACTGCCGATACATTTTAATGTAGTAAAAACATGTTAAAAACAGTGATGAATTTAGTGTAGTTTGCTGAAGAAAAGTAAAGGAAAATAAGCACATGCAGTCGGTGTGAAAAATGTACTCCCTCAGGGAACATCGCTCCTCTCATTATTCTGGTTACTTTTTCGGTTACGAGATCTCACCGAAGCTTCCGTTAACTGTTTTAACGCCTTTGAAACCTACGCTTGCAGGCGCGGTCATGATGTCTTGAGAGGCCACCTGCCAATAAAAGAGGAGCATGTAATTCTCGTCCGCCTCTCCTCCATTCAGCGAGCGCTGTACACCGAGTTCATGAATCGCTTCCGAGACGCGGGGAACAGCGGCTGGCTGGGGCTCAACCCTCTGAAAGCCTTCTGTGTCTGCTGTAAGGTAGGTCTTTTTAGCAATATGTAAGAGAGTGTTTGATGTTATTTATATGCATTCGGTGTGTGAGTGAGGGAATGGAGGGGGTGGAGAGTGAATGTTGTGCCAGTGTCACTTGGGATGGGGGTAAACGTGCACAGTGCGGATATTTTGGGGGGAGGCGGGAGAGAGGCGGTACTTTGATGAATCATCTCGCTCTGCTGCCTGTGACAGATCTGGAACCATCCCGATGTGCTTTACGAAGCGCTGCAGAAGGAGAATCTTGCGAACGACCCAGATTTGGACCTGGAGGTGAATGACCTTAGCGCCGGGACCCCAAACACACGAGCTCTGCCGATCGGAGCCAAACGCAAACCCGAGAACAGCGCTGCAGCGGCCGGAGACGCCGTCAACAGCAAGTTTGTCCAGAACGTGGGGTTCAACCACTTCCAGGAGAAAGCCACGCAAGTCATCACGTACGAGTGGGTGAGTGCACGACCTCGGTCTCTTCCCATTTTATTCAACCCCCCCCCCACCCTTTCCCTTGAGGTCGTTCGACCTGAATAGTAGATCACAGCAGGCCCAGGGGGTAGATATCGCATTTGATATCGTGCCTTATCACGTCTTCGAGACGTCTTAAAGCGCTTCACAGAATATACTGTAAAGTGAATTGACTATATTTTGTGGGCGAAACGCGGCAGCCGATTGCGCACAGCAGCGTCCCCACAAACAGTCGTGGCTAATCTGCTTGTCGCTCCTAGGCTAAAGAAGTGCTGGCAAACTATCAGCCTGGACTGTTGGAGAGCTCGGCCAAGATGGTGCTGCTGTTTGAGCTGATCGAGGAGAGTGTGAAGCTGCAGGACAAGATTCTTGTATTCAGGTAAAAGTGCTGTAAGGAAAGTATGTTTAACAGTCAGAGGAGGGCAAACTACTGTTCTGTTCAACCAAAGTTGCTCTTTTTTTTAATAAAAAAAAGTGTTTCCTGCCTGAGATCACCTAACGAAGTGCATCTCAAACCTGTGACTTTCTGTTCTGCGTGTGTGAGTGCTGCACAGAGTGGTACCCTTACCCATTGAATCATTAAGGGAAGCTGATAAGAGAGTGTTTGATGTGCTAGAGCATCTTCAGGTGATGCTGCTGCGAAATGCAATAAATCACAGTGAGGAATAGAAACGGTTTGATTTATTTGAATGCCTAACTGGTTATCGTGCTATTCCATTTGTTTCTTCGGCGGAATGGTAAAACGCTGAGAGAGTACAAGTCTTGTCGGATGTGTCACTGCTCTCGTGAAGGTTGCGGATTTCACTAGATTTTAAGATGAATTGAATTGGTTCTTTTGCAGCCAGAGTCTTTCCACGCTCTCGGTCATTGAGGAATTTCTCGGGAAGAGGCCGGTGCCTGGACTAGTGGACTTCGAAGGGCAGCCGCAAACCTGGATCCGAAACATCAACTATTACAGTAAGTGTCCCCAGTAGATCACACAGATCAACTGAGCAAGGCGGTAGTAGTGTTGCCTCCTTTTGGCCAATGCTGCCTTCTTCTCCAGACATGTTTATTGAGCCTGGGAGCTTTGTGTGATGACTTTAATACTGCAGGTTCATCACTAATTGATCTGTTTTTGATTTGTTGTATCTGATCCACTGTATTTTTCCATGCTGTATAATTATTATTATTATAACTATGACAGGACTGGATGGAAGCACTTCAGCTATGGAAAGGGAAAGGCTAATCAGCCAGTTTAATGACCCTCGCAACACTGCAGCCTCGCTCTTCCTACTATCTACTCGGTAAGTGTCGATGTCTTATTCGCTCACATCATCTGTTTTACGCATAGGATCTATCGCAGGTGTCAGATGTCTGACTCTCTCACAGGGGCTTTTATTCCCTTGTAAACCAGATTAAGTCACATAATTCATCTTGTTTATTACCATATTATAACCGATCTCGCAAGTTCATTATTTTGTTGCGTTTGGGGTCGAATTTTCTACTTAATATTGTTGGTATCTTAATATCAGGAAAGAAAGAACATTTCCATTTGGGCACCTGACATCAGCATCAAGTCAGATAGTCAGGTACAGCACAGGTTAGATACAGAGCTAGGCTTTGCGTACTTTGTGCCCAAAGCCATGTTCATATTAACACGAACACTCCAAAGATACAGACCATTCAGGACGCTAGTCCTTGCCAGTGATTATAGTCTGCTTAAGCCTCCCTCTTCCTAATCCCTACTCCCATACCCGTCTTTTTCCCTTCGCCCTCGTACATGTTTCGTGTTTCTTCTTGAATATATTGATGCATTCTGTTTCAACCTCACTTTCCGGCAATGTTCTGGTTTAAGCATTCTCAGCAACCTCTACATAAAATTGCTATCAAATTCCCTTTGAGATTTGCTTGGCTATCTTGTATTTATTCCCCCTTGATTTTGACTCATGAACCAGTTGAATTGACGTCTTAACATTCAATGTGACATTTTCCACTTCCACACAAGTCGTTTTGATGGCCCATCTGAGTCAGTGATTGCTCAACTAAGACTGGTTTCTACTGTAAACCCACACATAACTAAAAGCAATTGTTTTCAGATTGCGCAATTACAGTGGCGAGTTTTTAATTGTTTTATTTATTCACAAAACGGTTGTCACAAATATTAAATGGTTATGACTGGTGGAAAGCATCGATGCAAGGCTGGTCTGTTTTCTTAGGATAGGCAAGTACTTGTGTTCAGAAACTCAGAAATCCGCTGATATCAGTTGATGTACTGTGTTAATATTGAGAAAGATCAGGACTCACAAACAGCTCAGTGGTGAAATGCTCCGTGCGGTTATGTATTCAACAAAACAGGTAAGGAAGGACCTCTGTGCTTTCACTTCACTGCAAGGATGAAATCACTACAGTTGGTGAGAGAAAGAGACAACATTGCCTGGCAGTGCTGGCTGACATCTGGTCAGTGATATTGCGTGCCTTGTACTTCTCTCTAGGGCTGGTTGCTTGGGAATCAATCTGGTTGGTGCTAACCGTGTGGTGGTGTTCGACGCGTCCTGGAACCCGTGCCACGATGCCCAGGCAGTGTGTCGCGTGTACCGATACGGACAGAAGAAGCCTTGTCACATCTACCGGCTGGTGTCTGACTACACACTGGAGAAGAAGATCTACGATCGACAAATATCGAAGCAGGGAATGTCCGGTAAGGGAACTCAATCTGCCTGACCTAACCTGAGCTGCTGTCCCACGACTCTCCTCTTTGACCGTGCCTACGGTCACCCTCCTACCCCGACCCACCCTGCCCACCACCCTTCCTGATCCCAACCACCAGCTCAGGTGTGGATCCCTAACTGTCCAGCGCCTTTGGGAGTCCTCCTGGTGTGAAAGGCGCTGTACAAATGTCATTTGTTGTTGTTCCCCCCCCAAATGTCCCGTTTCCTGTCCCCTATCCTCCCATTACTTCCGCTTGCTTCTCAATACCTTCCTCTTTGGCCGCGCCATCGGGTCCTTGGTTATATCGTTTTGTCTGGAGGACAGCGCTAACATCACACAGCCAGCACTGCAGGGAGTGTCAGCTTAGACTAGATCAAATCAAAGTCCCGCCATGGAGCTTGAACCTTCCGACTCATAGGCAAGAGTTCTACCAACTGAGCCAGGCTGACACCTAAATAAGTATATAATAATTATAATAATAATAATTCTTGCATTTGACTTAGCGCCATATCACGTCTGCGAGAGTCTCAAAGAGCATCACGGGATATTCTGTAAAGGGAATTGACTATATTTTGTGGACGAAAATATTAGGTGTCGAATAACCCTTTATATAGCTACTAGTTTACCACACATTTTCTAATGTGTTATTGTGTAACATCCAAAAAAACCTATAACTATTAGTGTTTGCTCTCTGCCCTGCAGACCGTGTGATTGATGACCTGAACCCAGTGCTGAATTTCACCAGGAAGGAGGTGGAGTCGCTCCTGCACTTTGTGGAGGAGGAACCCAACTTGTGTGACGCGCAGTTTGACGAAGAGCGATTCTGTGACCCTGTGCTTCACGCAGCCTGCTTCAAACATAAACACTTTGTCACCAAGGTTTGCTTCTCCTTATTCTACTGTACCTCCGAGGAAATGTGGGTTCTCCAAATAGACTAGGTGGAGTGCGTATTTTCTCTTGTGCTTCCCACTCAAAGTGAACCTCTGACCATGGGTACTTCCCCATCTGTAGTGAAGGGTGGACTAGAAGGATGCCATCCTTGTTTGCACTTTCACACTTGTTAGCAGCCTGCGTTAATAAAGCAGTGGAAGCAGAAGTTTGCCTACTGAACCTTTTGACGATAGAATAGTTCCTAACCTAAGGAAACCTGAACCCTGGAAGTGGACAATATATAATTTTTTTTAATAAGGTTTAATGTGTGGCGTTTAGAGGATTTGTGAGTCTAATTTTTCTTTCTTGTCTTCTGGTCTATCTCTCTCTCTAGAACCGTATAGAGAGGTTTTGTACAAAGCGGCATTAAGATGGAATACGTTACCATAAATTAGTATTTTGAAGCCAAGTTATAATTGTCATTTAAATAGGAATAATTGAAATTTGAGAATTAGAAGGTACGGGGGCTGCAAGTATTTTGCTGATGGCACATGTCCTAGAATCTAAATCTTACACAGATGTTTACTAAGAGGAAAAAACAATGTGCAGTGTTGTGTTTACGTTAAATGTACAATGTAATGAAAGTCACGGAATGTCTGAATCGCATAATGCCCTGAAATCCATCTTCTCAACAAACCCCAAACCCCTTTCCCATACAGTTATTTCTGAACGAGACCCGGCGTGTGTGTTTTTTCCGTAGGACCCGTTCCAACACGAGTCGCTGTTGATGGACCGTAAGGAGTACAAACTTACAAAGGCAGAGAAGAAAGCAGCGAAGAAGAGTTATGAGGATGAGAAGCGAGCATCGGTCCCATACACACGACCGTCCTATGCACAATATTACCCGGCCGGTGACCAGAGTCTTGCCAACATCCCCATCTTCAGCCAGCAACACTGGTACGTCAGTATAATAATAATCCTTACATTTGATATAGTGCCTCATCACGTCTTCAAGACGTTTCAAAGTGCTTCACAGAGAATACTGTACAGTGAATTGACTGTATGTTTTTGTGGGCGAAACGCGGCAGCCAATTGCTCACAGCAACATCCCACAAAGAGTCGCAGATTGAGTGACCAATTTATTATTTAGTAATCAAGAATTTCTTGCTTCGGGTGTTAATGAACGATTTCATGTCACATACTGCCAACGGCCTGCTGTAGGTCAAATGCTAAATCTGACCTTTAATGTTTCCCAGAGCCACCATTTGAGAGCATCAGCTTAACGACTTGGTTAAAAAATACGTCTCAAAGCACTTTACAAAATATAATTGATGAGAAATGAAGCGAGTGTAATATAGGCAAACATTGCAGATAAATCTGCACCAATAATCTCCCCTGAACAGAATAATAGCAATGAGATGAATAGCAATTAATTCAAATTTGGGGCAAATGGATTTGGAACGAATCTAAAATGGGAGGAAAAGTCCACCCACATCTTTGAAATAGCCACAGGTATTGCTTTGCTTTGAATAGCAGCCTGGTTAAAAGCCACCAAAAGTTAATAACAAAGATTGGGAAGACGGTCATAAACACATAGCCTGCCTTTGAAATCCAATAATATTTAGGTTTAAGGACGATACCTGGAAAGATGAATGAATGAATGAATGAATAAAGGTAAATGATGACTTACTAAGGACATAATCTCGAATATGGGTCATCTCCACATACAGAGCTCCTGCCCCTCAGTTTGCAGTTCGGTCTTACCTAGTAGAGAATCCAGAGGAAAGGGAGAAACCTTTTTTTGAACATAATTGACCTCGGCCATAACCAAGTACTGGTAAGAACCTCAGAAGAATAACGTTGTAGATGCTTCACTGACTCAGTATATAGTTCGGGGACACGACATGTCAAGCGAGTGCCAGGTTAGGATAACGGAAAGAGAACTAGATGGACCTCAGTCTTCTTTCACCAGCCAATTCTTATGTTCTGATGTGTCCGTTCATGTCCACAGGAGAGGTCCTCCAAAGGGACCAGATGAAAAGCCCGTGGCCAGTGTACGACCCGTGCAGTCAACACCAATTCCCATGATGCCTCGACAGTTTCCGGGGGGAATGGTCATCCCCAGTTCAGGATTCAACCCCGGATTCCCGCTCAGTCATCTCCAGCGAGCTGGCGTTATGATGCAGAAAATAGTCACTACAACAGGTGAGACTCTTCTGGTTGCAAATGCATAGCTTCTGTGACGTGTCTTTCCAGAGAAATGCACTAGAATAGCTGCAAACTATCCGGAATTCTGCACCCAATGTCCTCTCCCGCATCAGATTCCATCGCTCCCATCCGCTGACTTCCCACTTTTCCCAGCAGATAGCATTCAAGATCCTCGTCTCACCGTTAATTCCCTCCACCCGCCTCTCGCAATCCTACCAACCTGCCCACATTCCCTTTGCTCAGTGAGCACAGTTCTGCTTCATGTCTTCCACCTTATTTGCCACACCATCGGTGGACGAGCTTTCAGACATTCTATCCCTGCTCCCTGGAACTCCATCATGATGTCCCTCCGATTCACTGACTCCATCTCCGAGACGCAGAACCAAAGCTGTGTAGTGGAAATGTCCAGTGACGCAGTTGTTCTGCTACCTCCATTCACAGATATCGTTATTCCTGGCACCAATACATCAACAGATGTCCAGGCGAGAATCTGTGCGGGGGAAAGCATCCACGTTATCAGGGGAACAAAAGGTATTTGTGTTTTCTTAGCTTGAGAAGTTGAAATGGCTGCTTAACAAACTGCTGCTAAATCTTTCCAGCAACAGATCTCTCAAATCAGTGAATTGTCTGAAGTGCAGAGTTACAGGTTTGGGCCAAGCCCATTGAATGTAATCACGCATCCCCACATTTGACTCAGATGTAGTTTGTTGGATGCTAGTTTGAAAGGTGTAGTTAGATAAGCTGTGCGTTCGTACACTTAGGATGCTGTGAATACAGGACATTGCTTTGGAAATGAAACGATGGAGGGTTCCCCTGCTGCAAAAGGGATTGAAGATTAATTCTGATACATGGCCTCCTCCTCACGCTCCTCCATCTCTTGCTGATTTGTGGCGTACCAACAAGTTCCTGACCTAAACAAAAATGGCCGCATTGTGAGCCATTCAATCACCACCTTTCCTGTTTGCTGCACGTGCACAAAGGAGGAAGTGATGTTGGCAATGACCTGATGAGCCAGAATAGGGCTTTTTTTCTTAGCTCGAAAAGCTGAAATGGCTGCCTTTCAGGTCATCGGGTTACTGCCGATGGCTTTTCCCAGTTGCTGTGCGTGCGCAGCAATGCAGGAAGTCACGGCAGTGGCAGTTTCATTACTTGGAAGTCAGTTATTTTACCGTGAAAGCCCGCTGGTGCTTTAGAGCGGGCTGGTGGTGCACGTGTGCAGTGAGTGGAGTTACAGTGAAGCCGCATTATAACTGAATTCATGCCATAAAGAAGTTATAATGGAACTGCGCAGTAAACAGAGTCCGTTATCTTTGTGCCTTGCAACTCTTCTGAAACTGCTCATATGTGTCGTCTTCTTCACAGGGATGTACATTCGCACAAGCGATGGTAGGATCTTTGCTGTGCGTATGGGCGCTAAACCAAAAGAAGCTGAGGGAAACCATGCAGCTGCATCAGGTAAAAACCACCAACACTGGGTTTAATGTCAGCTAATGATTTCCTAGAGACAAAAGTGAAGCGCTTTTGAGACGTCTCGAAAATAGAATAAGTCTATATCAAAAGCAAGTATTATTATTGTAACAGTGCTAAATATACGATAAATCTTGATATAGCGCCTTTCATATCAGGAGAACGTCTCACACACTTAGCGGGCTCTAGCCCCTTGCTCTAGCTCATGTCCCTTGCCCGGCCCACCATTGGCGGGCAGGCTTTCAACCTCTCCGCGCCCACACTCACTCCGCCCCACCCCTCCCTTCCCCTTACCTCCTTCAAGACCCTCCTCTTCGAACGTGCCTTCGATCACCCTTCTACCCCAACCCTCCCTGCCCTCCACCCCTCCTGATCCCAACCACTAGCTCGGGTGCGGAACCCTGACTGTCCAGCGCCTTGGGACGTCCTCCTGCACAATTGAATTTGTTGTTTGTAACAGGACCTTTTATTGTTTCTGCCTCCCTCCCAGGTTCTCAGGGAGCCGCTGCTAATACAGATGGTCACGGCGGGCACAGCTCCTCTTCACCCAATCAGCCACAGGGAGGCCTTTCCCCAGAAGAGATCGCTCGGCCGCTTTCCCCCGACAGCCCCGAGATAATAAATGAGCTCCAGCGCTACGCCGAGGCAGCAGCAGCGAGAGAATCCACCGACAAACCAGTGACTGTGACCGCACAGGGGGACCACGGGAAAACTCGACAGGGACAACCTACAGACCAGCTCTTGGGAATGACCAGCTCCTTGACGTCAGCCCACGCACCCACCTTGAACATGCCGACGACCAGCCGATATTCAGACTGGAATTCTGGTGCGATCGGGATGGACATGAGGGGCGGCAAGAGGAAATCCTCTTCCCCTTCATCGGACGATCCTTCTAGAAAGCAACGGCATTCTGCACTCGCCCAGAATTACCCTCTTCCCTCTGGTTTCAATTTGTCGCCTGTGGGCCTGAACCCAGATCTGGCAGGACTCAACAGTACTTGTTCAACTCTCTTAAATCCACTGCTTGCACAGAGCGGGAACCCTCTGTACGGCGCAGGGAATCCCTATTACACACTGCCCAGCTTACTGGGAGATCCGCGCTTAATGTTCCCTATGACTACTGACCCACGTCTTGCTGCTAGCACCACCAACCCTGCCATTCCTACCTCAGTGACAGGTACCATATCGCCCTTCATGCTCAACTCGACAGTGCCAGGCATGCTGCCCAGCTACTCACATCAATTCACCCAGTCGATGGTGACTGAACCCCGGATGTTTGCGCCTTTCCCAGTGCCCCTTCTCTCCAACAACCTGCCGGCCACCACAGGACCAGCCAACATAGCCTTCATGCCGTCCTCTTCCAGCTATCAGGCTCCTGAGCTCCTCAGCACCTCGGCACTGCAGATGGAACCTTCCGGGCTTTTGGACACTGGCGATAGCTCAGACGACGACGATGACGTGATCGAGGTCACGAGCAGTAACTCGGGGTCGTAACCAATCTGGAATAGGGCTGCTATCCAAATTCTTATTTTTTAAGAGAAAAAAAAACGTGTGACTCACCCGAATTTTATGGCCTGACCAACGTTGTAAATGTTGCCTTTTTACATTTTTTTAAGAGAAAAAAAAGTTATTGGCAAAACCGAGCAGAGCCGGGCAAACTTGACTTGACTGTCCATCTTTATTTTTTGAATAAACCATCCAGTAGAAATTTTTTCCGTTCCTTTTAAAAAAAAGAGAGAGAGAAGAGAGGGAATCTGCCTTCATTTTGACAGGAAAAAAAAACAACAAAAATCTGGTTTAACGGGGCGGTGGAATCATTTAACGTTTCAGAAAAGAAAATTTATTTCTAGGGTCACATAAAATTTGACTGGTGCACGTTTTGGGGTGGGTGGGGGGGGGGGTGGTTTTAACAGAAAAAAAAAAGCGCTTCGGGTAACGGTTGTTATGGCAGAGCAAACGGAACTTGAGATTTTCAACGAGCCACGTGGCAGGAGGAGAAAGCAACAGCCCATTTGCGACAGCTGGGGTAAAGGAAACCGTCGGTAGGTAAATAGGCACTGATGGCTTGCAGGACTGTCCATCGGTTACTGGTCTAAGACGAGAGAGAGGTGCCAGTAAGATGCTGCATATTTCGCTGTGTAGATGTGCCACAGGCAGCCCCAAGCATTGAACTCCCAACAGGAGGTCTGGAATCTAGGCCTGAACTACATTCAGATTTGGGGAGCGTAGGGGGATAAATGGCATGATTTCAACTGATCAGACCAGTTCTGGTATGACCCGCCTTGTAGAGTCGCGTCTCTTTTTGGCTGATGGAGAGAGAAGCTGCAGTGATTGGAGATTATCACAGATAGACCAACCAACCCACTTCTGGACAATGGGGGGGGGGGAATGGGGCCATTAGAGAGAGTCGGGGAGTATAACAAGATTTTTCACGACAATTACTACAGAGTACCACAAATCTTAGCGTTTACCTGGATTTTTTTTTGTTACGTTAAGGAAACTCTAATACCTGTTTCGGTACATTTCAGTTATGGTTCATGGGGATCAGTTTTTTTTAACGGGATGATTTTATGTGGCGCTGTTTTGCTGTTTTAAATATTATGATTTACTTCACTGGGTTGAAAAGTGCAGTAACTGATGTTTTATGTGAAATACTTTGCTTCCCCTCCTCGAACCCAGCGGCATATTAAGGTCAGAAACTGACTTCCAACATGCAAGTGCAGCGAAACCATAACCTGACGCATATTTTAACTAATAATGGTTATTATTCTTGCATTTGATCAATATTGTCAATTTGTCAGTATTGTGCATCTCAGCTGACGGTCTGTAGGGAATGGCTTCATTCAAGAGAAGCTCAGACGGTTTATTTCCTGAGATATAAAAATAATAATTTGGATACATTCTGGTCGGGTTCCCGTTTGAAAGGTTGTTTTTTTTTTTACACACTTTAAAGCTTTAAGCCATGATTTTTTGGGAAGAAAATTCCTCAGTAACTTATTTATGAACTCAAAGAAATATTTATTCTCGGTCTGGGCTTAGCTGAATGCAGCCGGACGAGAAGATCTTCCCCAGAGAATTAGGAACCATTAGGTGATTATTAACCAAAGTCAAACTGTTAATTAGCGCCAGCTACAGTCAGAACCTGAACAAAGCCCAATTGGTGACCATTTTCTAATGATCCAGGATGAAGCTCATTTATTTGTCCATTATGCTGTACTATGAAAGAGTTTGGGCCTTCATGGGATTTCAGATACTTTAGAAGTCTTTAAATCTTAGACAATGTTTTTCAAAGTTAGGTTTCACATTCGTGTTAAGAATTTTGTTGCCCAACCTTGTTGGGGAGTTGCTTTGCAGTACAAAGTTTTCCTTACTGTGTTTCCAATGGCATCTAGAGTATGGTTCTTGCTCTGAATACCAGCGGGTTTAGCAGCAGAGTTTATGCTCCTGAGATGCAGTGGCGATCTCGGCAGTGACCTCTTTACTGCTCTATCATTTTCTGAGGCTGGAGTTTACCAACAAAGATATCAGAGGTTAATAGGCTCTCTGGTTTGAGATCTGGCACCCATTCAGACTGCACTGGTTTGGAGTGTAGAAGAAATTGCACTGAATAATACTGAGGTGAAGCACATTGCAAGATTATTCCAGCGTGACTTTGCTAATGTAAAGACATTGTCGTGTCTAGAGGTAGAGGCTGATGACTGATTAACTCTAATGAAATTCATAGGTCGCATCTCTTTCTTTCCAATTAGTATGCACAATCTTCTGTCCAATTGTATGCACAATTTAATGCATCATATAATCTGTGCTGCCTATTGAGAGTGTCTGATGCATGAACAAATGTAAGTTACAGGCTGTAAGTATAAATGGTGGAACTAAACTGGTCTTGTAATGTCATTTGCAAGGCATCAATTAAATAATTAGAGTTTGATTGACCTAGTGGGTTAAGGCATTGCTCAGCAGGAACCCATATAGACCAGAAGGTTATAGATTTGATTTACAGTCTGTGCGTAGTGTTAGCTAAAGCAGCAGTTGTGACTATTATTGGCCTCAGTGTTGCTAGGCTGTGGAGGGCACATATCAGCCAGCAATCGTACTGTCCAGTCGTTCCTACTACTAGACGAGGTAAATGCCAAGTAAGAAAAGATCAGTTGTGACACCTTTCATAACCTGTTGACCTTCATTGTCACGGGTGACATGAAGGATAGCCACCTGAGCAAGGACAGACAACGCTTGTAGAACTATACCCTGGCAGTAATCTGCTCCTTCGCGAGAGAAATTGGAAAAAAAAACGAAATGAATGTGTCTCGGGAACAGTAGTTAGTGCCCCATCACCCTCACTGAAGTGATGCGAATAGACTTAGACCTGCAGATTCTTCAGTCGCTAATCCTTGCTTTTTGAGCTGTACAGTAAGACCAAACTAAGCATCCTGTGTGGTCTGCACCGGAGAGTATTGGTTTCTAGGAGATGGAAGCCTCACTACCCAGTGATTGCCTTAGCGTATTGTATTCCGGCAACAAGAGCAGTTTTATTCATTGCCATCTCTTACCACTCAGCACCCTACTTCGATCTGCACAGAATGTTTTTAATGATGTTTTTAAGAGTTTTCACGTTAACAACTTGAATGTTTGTTGAGGCAGCGCACAGAAATAGGACAAGCCATTTGCTGGACATTACAGAGCAGTGGAGATTAGATTAGTGTGTTCCATTAATCCCAGTGGCTCAGAGCATCTCACCAAGTTGATTGTACAAACTTGCAATTGGTTCTGAGGTACAATACTTGTAGACTTCTCCTAGGTATGAAGGTCAGGGTGACTGTAGGGGAACCTGTGTTTTATGGTCCTATAGTTTTGTGCGTCATTTAAGGAAACTACTGGTCAACTGTGCCTTAGGTGCCACATTGCTTGCAGACATTGAGGAACGGCAACACATCTTTTGAAAGCCGGGCATTTGCATTGAATTATGCCATAATTTGTTTTGGTCCTCATTGCAATTCCAGGTTGAGCACTTGGAGACATCCTTAGAGATATTTCAAGCCCGTCTTCCTGGCTGGGAAGGGGAAGTAACTGGGATGAACACATACACTTTGAAAACAATTGAAGTCAAACCCAAGAAATCCGAACCCGGTTTGCTCCTGTTGTGGATGTAGTTTCCTCACTGTGTGTAGTGTCCAAACTGAGGCGAGTTTAAGATATTTTTCTAATAATTGTTCCTTTAGTTCCCGCACTGTTAGCTGAAAGATGGAGTTACCATGTGTATATTAACAGACACTATTAATCAATAGAAGCCTTAGAAATGTTAGCTATGCAAGTTTTTTTTATATATAGTGCTTTCTGTTACGACATATCACCAGAGATAAGACGAGGGATTCTAAATGAGCTCATTTAATTGTACCAGAAACCGTCCTTGTCTGTCAAGTCAATAAGGGTGAAGTTATCAATTCTCCAAAGACTTGAAGAGGGCGTTTCTGGAATCCCTGTAAGTTATGTTCTGTGTCCCCTGGAAGCATTGGGGAGTAGGAGAGAGGTGCATAGCATTTATCCTGCCACCTGAAGGATGGGGAATCCTATTTGCCAACATCACAGGACCACAGTAAGTCTGCTGTACAAACTTAATACGATTGTGGAGAATACAATTTCAAAGCTGTGAGCTAGTATTTCAGTTTGGAGGTGAACGATTTGCATTTTGGCAACATGTGTCCCAAGTACTGATGGCTTGAGTTGTACCTTGTTGAAGGTTGTCAATATTTCACGTATGCATTTGTGTGGCAATTATATGCAGATGCTCCAGTCCCTGTATGCTTTGTTGGGTGGGAGGGATAACTATTCATAATTTGGGTGTGCTGAGCAGTTGCACTACTATTTTTCTTGTTTGTATTTTACGTCAAAATGTCCATTGCCTTTGTTACGTAACAACCTGCTCACTCGTGTACTCTTCACTTCAACGTTAGTTATAGCATTCACTCCACCGTTCATTCAAGTCTGCCTTTTACTCAAGAAAAAAAAAGTCAAATGTAAAATCTGTTACAACTCTGTTCGGTTGGGAAACAAAATTACAGTGGATGTTGTTCCTGGAAGGATGTGTGCACTTGTGACTGTACTTTTGAGGTGTACACTCTTCTCCGAAAAAAGGTTGGGATTCCCCACAAATTCACCACACTCACGGACATCTTATGCAATCTGCCATTTATGGTATTCAATGCGATACAAGTAATAATTCCCCAAGACTCCTGCATTACAAATTTATGCTATAATCTCACTATTCCCCAAATCATTGAATCTGTGTGTATTTTAATTGTTCGGTAAACAAAACCTGCTGATTTACAATGAAAATGTTTCAATTGGCAAGAGCCTGATTAACTTAAAACCCATTTCTTCTCGACTTAGTACACCTCTCCAGTGCAGATCACGCATCAGGTGGTCATTCCCATGTTGGCAATGTGTTAAGTGATATTCGCAGATGCCCATTCCCCCGTGTGGCAAAGTTCTGGGATTTATTTGCAGCCGCGATGGCTGTAAAGGAGACCGTTCCATAGATTATTACACTGTTAAATTGTGAACATTATTTTCCCCTTGGAACAACAGTTCTTATAATTCGCCCACACTGGCATTGTGGTATCTCCAGGCTCGCGACAGGGAAGTGGTAAAAGAAGAGCATGTGGTCAGTAACTGTTTCATGGCAGTGCCTGTTACCTTGTATGGCAGCTTACGGAGTTTCTTGTTTGGAGCTTGCAGTGATTTTCTTTTCCGTGTTCATGGGTTAACTGACCGTTTTGCCTCGGCGTATAAGAGACGTGTGTTGTCTTGTGCCCTTTGGGAATGCCATACACTGGCCCAGACCCTGTGTATGTACTTGTTTGTCTTCATTAAACGTGGAATCAGTCTCGACTGCACCCTTTGGTCACCTTTGAGCGACCGTTACCACTAGGATTTAAGGGAGTTTGTGCTGCTATCGCCCTTTCGAAAACTACTGTTCCCATGAGTGTGTGGTGTGTGCAAAGTAGGCAAGATCTCTTCATCGACAGCCTTATGGAACGAAATGGGTCACTATGCCTGTGTGAGGGGGTCAGTCTCCACAGTCTCCTGTGTGTTTTCCCCCCACTCTCCAGGAGTCAAACCCGCCTGATCTGCTTTTCTTCCCTCTTCCCCCCCCCCCCCCCCCCACCCCACCCCACACCCCGTCCTGTCCCCACAAAAAAAAAAGCTCATCATCCAAAACAATTAATTTTCTTTTGTAATGAAATGTTACCTGTCTGTAAAACTGCCTAAAGAACCTTTTTTTTCTGTAAAATGAAAATAAAGATTAGTTCCTTGTGTTTTTTTTTCTAGTAAGAAAATCCTTGTTGACCGAAAGAAAATGTCTGGGTTAGAACGTCGTGTACCGTGCGGCTTGATTCATGGAAAAAAAAAACACTTCACTAATTTGTTGACATTTTATGCTTGTAGCGTCTCAAGCGTGAATAATAAATGACCATTTTGCAACCGTTGTATCTCAAGCCATTCAATAATGTTAATGCCACGGCTACTGTTCATTCACTTCGAAGCCAAGGATAATAGTCGGTGGTGGGAGAGAAGAATAACCTGCCCTCACTTAAATGGCACTTACTGGTGGTGATGGTTATCCAGAAGACAAATGGCGTTTGTTTTTATGTTAAAGGCCTTCTACGTTAGCAGTGAAAATGGGTGGGGGGGGACGGGGAGTAAGAAAAGAGTTAACACTTACATTTAAGACCCCATGCATTATAATAATCCTTGCACTTGATTATAGCGCCTTATCGCATCTTCGAGACGTCTCCAAGGGCTTCACGGAATACACTGTAAAGTGAATTGACTACATTTTGTGGGCGAAACACGCCCTCTCCAATTGCAAACAGTCGTGGATTGAAGGACCAATTTATTTTTTGAAGGAATTATTTGATTGGAGTTGATGGACTACATGTCAATTTTCACCATTCACATATATCAACCACCCTTCACGTGGAGAGCACTTAACTGAGCACCAAGCAGAAATGAGCAAGTGATCTTCTTCGTCAGTCTGCTGCCAAATTCAGCAGTGGAGTGAGCCACGCGCTGCGCAACCACAAAATTAATCCTTCACCGGAATCGAATCTTTTATTTTCCTTTAATTAAAACCAGTTTCCAGTAAAAATAGAATCTGGAGACCGCAAAGCTGCAATCTACACGATCAGAAACAGCTCAGCTCTAAACTCTGCACTTTTAAAGTAAAAATTAGTTCGAACAAGTACATGATCAATAAAAATTGTTGACCAAGACCATGAGAAAGATACAGTGATCCGATTAGATCAGGAAGCTTCGCAGATCATACGCACTGAAGGCTTCGGAGTAATTAAACCCCACCTGTTGTTAGCACCTCGGATTGTGATGCTTGACGATGCCAATTACACAACACACGAATGAGAGACTGAAATCTAAAGTCCCAAGGAAAAAAAGAATGAGCCGGAAGTGAGGGCATCAAGCGACGACTTGTAACAAATTGATGTAAATGTCATGTCTGATTGCAGAACTAGTACCCTCCCAAATCGTGAGAGTCGTGGCATTTAAGATGCACGTTTTCAAGCACTTGCGCTTCAGTAAAACAAATCCCGTTTGATAAAGGGGAATAATTCAGGCAGCATGGAATTGCCATAGAGCCTTCCTTCCCCCCCACAGTGGTGATCACAATCTCACGCATCCCTTTTAACTGCATCTTTAAAACTACTGCATTTACGAGAGTATTTCTGTCTTTAACGATCAAATCTGAGGGCAGCGGTATTCCCTTTTAAGTCATTTAAGCTCAGAAAGGGGTGGACGGGTAAAGCAGATAACCACGCGAGCAAAACAAGCCATCCTTTTGTTTTTGTACTGCTTTCAGCCGTGGGTCGTTTATCCCTGAGCCTGTGATTTGAACCATGAGCTGAACTTCCCAATGCCCACCTCCCCAGTATAGACACAACTCGGGGACAGTAATCGCAGCTTTAAGAGGAGGTAGTTTACAAGGACCCAACAATGCCAGCTCACTGGCTTATTCGGATTCGCTGTAACGTGGGTGACAATTATTGGGTATAAAATCTATACTTAATACTTAGTACTTCTTCCACAAACGTCGCAAGCTCCGCACAGCTTCGAGTTAACACACACACGCACACACACTGGGAGCAGGTATTAATAGTGCTGTGCCATTAGCAGCTTGATCAGCATGTACCACACACCTTGCTGCTATGTGCAATGACTTGGATACTAAAGTGGTTCTGTACGTCTGTCTGTATGTATTTAATGCTGTTTGTTGTCCAGCACTGCCACCTACCGAATCGAACTGAACTCCATCTAATCGCAGGACTCTTACGCTCTAACTTAGCTCAAGCAATTTTAACAGCAAGGCCCCCTGACCCAGAACCTCTATGGAAAAAAAAATAATGCTCGATTTAAAAATGCTACATAAAAAGTAAAAGCAATATATATATATAAAAAAAATTGGGAAACTTGGGTAACCCAATGATGAAATCAAAGCTCTGTCCAGGGCAGAACTGAACCACATTGACGACGTTCTCGCGCTCAATTAATTCTTAGTTGCCTTGGGTGGTCCTTCCGACGTGAAAGGCGCTATATAAATGTAATTTGTTGTTGGTGTCTGCTGAATTTGGTGATTTCTGCTAGTGCAGCAGTAGAGTTTACGATCGTCCTATTTGCTTCCTGGGCAGGGAATGAGAGCAGGGGAATGAAAAGCCAACAGTAATGGAAAGAAATTGGGAGTGCAAATTGGGCGGGTCACAAGGATGTGGAGGATGACCTCCAAAATATGGTTAAACAAGTCTGCAAATTGTACAGCAGGAATGGAAGAATGGGAGAGGTAAGTAGGTCCATTGGCTTAAGTTCCTAGAAAAGAACGAGTTAAAGCAGACTCACAGTTCCAAAACTCCTGAAAAAAAATAAGTTTTACATTCCTGAGTCGGTTTTGCGCATCATTGCAGTTTTGTTTAAAAAACATTCCTCCGTCCCATATAGTCTGTCCGCCTCACTGCACCCAGACTCAATCCCCTACGCCCCAACGAAAGGTGTTGTTTGTGGATTTTACCAGCTTCACCTTTGCTTTTGACCCTTTCAAATTCCCTGCATGTTAAGATAGATATTTAGTTGCCAGAATTTGTCTTTCAAACCCACCGCAATACATCAGGCAAACCTGCCTTAGTGAATTCATGGTGGCCTGTTGGTCAGAATACACTCACCCACGGATTCAACTCACTCTACAGCAAACTCAATCGCTGGTCTTCGTTTGGTTATATTGCAGAGAGGCGGTTGGTTCAGTGTTGTTCAACGATAAGCCAAGTTAACCCGTCTCAAACACACACACACACACACACACGGAGCAAACTGAGAACGAGAGATTGGGATCTTCAATACAAAACCAGTGTTACCTTCCACTTTGTTGGTTAACCTGTTGGGTTAAAGTAGATTTTTCTAAATACCAATGCATCAACGTGGAAATGTTAGTAACTTGGTGAAAATCTACAGCCTTCAGTTGGTCTGTGGTTCTTGACGGTACAATATGAACCAAAGCCTTAGGCTTTTCAGTGTAGAATCTCAGTTCTCTCTGATTCTTCACGACATCTCTCTCCATCACTGATTGCTGCAGATTGCGGAGGATGATGCTGAGGAGGAGGAAGATGGATTCTGTTTCTTCCGCCTCTTGTTCAGCAGAGGGTTGCTGGTTTTGTCCAAGTCCTTAATTGTCACTTGATCGTAGTCGACTCGCATGGTGGCGAGAGCACTGGTCATTTCATCCTGAAAGTGAATCGCAGATAACAATAACAATACTTGCATTTGATATACCGCCTTATCACGTTATCGAGGCGTCTCAAAGCGCTTCACAGAATACACTGTAAAGTGAATTGACTGTATATTTTGCGGGTGAAATGTGGCAGTCATTTGCACACAGCAGCGTCCCCACAAACAGTCGTGGATTGAGTGACCAAATTATTATTTTTTTTTGAAGGGATTATTACCCCAGGAAAAGCAATCCACCGATCGACTAACCACCAGGTTCTTACCTACTGCTGGGCAAACAGGCGTGTGGAGTAAGGACACTGGAGTGGGCAGAGAATGTCAATGCTGGTGAAGGGACTAAGCCGAGCTTACATTCCCATCCCCACAGCTAGAAAATCGTGGGATCGGAAACCTGTTTAGTGCACTTGGGAGGGTCTCGCCTGTTAACTCTTCCGTCCTGAACCAACTCCTCAGCATCAGATGAAGCAGGAACACAGGAACAGGAGGAGGCCGTTCAGCCCCTCGAGCCTGTTCTCCCATTCTACAAGATCAAGGCTGATCTGTATCTCAACTCCAATTAACCGCCTTCGCCCCATAACCCTTGATACCTTGACCTAACAAATATCTGTCCACCTCAGCCTTGAAAATTTGTAAAATTCTTCCTTTTTTTATTATTCAGATCAGTGCAAGATTATTGCCTTATAATCCTAATAATAATCCTTGCATTTGATACAGCACCTTATCACGTCTTGGGAGACGTCTCGAAGCGCTTCACAGAATACACTGTAAAGTGAATTGACTATAACCTTGTCCTAATGCACTATTCAGTAGAGTAAACTCAGTTTGACGGAATACAACACTTACTGGGGGTACTGATGCTAATCCTGGTGTATGCAAGACAGACGGGCGAGGAGTGCGTGAAAACGGCAACAGAAATCAAACTGTCTGGACAAAACAGGTGCCCACTTTAGCCCCGAATCGCTTGCTAAGCAGAGCCCGAGCAGACTGACCTTTACATCCTCCCACATGTCCTTCTCTTCCTGGAGAACCCGGCTGGTGTGCAGTGGAGTCTGAGGAACCACCATCGATTGCTGTAAAGAGATAGGACCTCGATGACTGGGATAGTTACTGAGTGCTTCAACAGCCCACGTTTCTTTTAACAGTCAGGTTCAGAAGAGACGTCTCTTTGTGTAAACCTTTGCTCTGGTGACATTATAAACAGCCAGTCTCCCCCAATTGACGAATCTCAAGGTCACCAAAGCTGCGGTTCATGGGGTGATTAATTAATTAATTGGTTAATTAATAATTATAATAAGCTTTGCATTTGATATAGCGCTTTTCATGTCTTCTAGATGTCTCAAAGCGCTTCTCAGAATAAGTGAATTGACTGTATATTTGTGGGCGAATTGGAGTTAATAATATAAAATATAATAATATAATTTGAGTTGATGTACATATTAGCCATGGTCTAATAGAATGGCGGAACAGGCTCGAGGGGCTGAATATTACAGAATATACTGTAAAGTGCAGTGATTGTGTATTTTGTCACGTTTTATAAACTTGCATTTCTGTGTCTGTTGTGTAAAATTAAACATCTTAAAGCACTTTAAAATAAAAGCTGATTGGAAAAGAAGTGAATGTTCCTACTTGGACAAACATAGCAGCTAATGTCTACGACACTCACACATCTTTTGTTGTGATGTCCCCAAACACCTTTTAGTCTAATATTAGTTGCGTTAATTGCTGCATACACTGAAGGATCCTAATATTTGCTGAATCCAGCACAAAACATTCAGTCAGTCTAATGCATGGGCATTGATAAAACGGCACTGATAAAAGGGCTGGAGTTTGGTGAAACCTACATTAATCCAGGGATGGTTCATAAATTCTGTGATTGTCATCCTTTCCGTGGGATCTGTCTTCAGTACTTGTCGGATCAAATCTTTCGCTGCAAATGGAATAGAACAGTGAAAGTTATATAAACCCACTGCCAACACAGCAGCTAAACTCCACTCAACAAACAGGAACATACACACACACACACACCTTCCCTCCAATAACCCATACAGATGTAATATACCTTTCACTTAAGGAAGCCGTCTCAAGGCGCTTCAGGATATAGTATCACTGAGTTTTGTAGGCAAATGGAGCAGACAATTTGCACGCAACTTTGTCCCGCAAACAGCCATGAAGTGAGTGACCAATTTTTTATTTGGGGGATTGTTGGTCAGGACCGAGAGACCAAGAGAAATGACCTTCTCTTTCCAAATAGTGCCATGGGATCTTTAACATCCACTCGAGGCAGGGAGACAGGATCTCGGTTTAACATCTCATCCGAAAGACGGCACCTCCAACAATACAGCACACACACAACCCCCCACCCCACCGCCCACCGAATGTCAACCTAGACTGAGGGGCCAATGTGGGACTCGAAGCCATGACTTTGACTCGGAAGCAAGAGTCATACCAACTGAGTCAGGCCGAACACCTAAACACATTTGCCGATGTTAAGTGTTTAGAGCGCTTGGTGAGTTACAAACCACAGGTAGGTGCAAGTACGTAAAGAGTGGCCCAACTATAGGTACCGATGGAACCACAGGGTCTGCGGCGGTGGTGGGGGGTTTGTTTGACCACTCGTCACAAGCTGCACCCAGTAAATAATCCCGTCATTTACCTTCTTCAGACACGTCGGACCATTCGGGGTTAGGAAACTCGTACTGTCCCATTCGAATCCTTTTCTTCATCCCGGGAGAGATGGCAAGCCCGTGGTTGGAGTAGAATGGGGGATAACCACACAACCTGCAGGTGGTGAAGCAGAGTTTAACACAGTTATCCGCTAACTACGCCGAGTGCACTTCGGCTTAAAAGAAAGTCGTAATCGCAAGCAGGAGTGTTCCGGTTTAATAAACGAACGAGCAGATTTCCCGTCAGTAATTAATCCTTTGCTTGATTCCCAAATAACCTTTTCCCCGCTCCGGGTGCAGTTGGATCCAGGTGAAGCTTTTCGCACCTTTAGCAATCGTTCAGTTGTCAGAATGGCTAAGAATATGAGCAGCTGGTTACGAGGAAAACCTCGCCCTTTTCTGCCCTCGAGACACCCAAGTTTTAGCTCCTCAACTAAGCTAAATTAATGAGAAGCCGTTTCATTGTGCACAACATCAAATGCACGAGGAATCACGGTCGATTCACCCTATTCCCAATGTGCGTACGAGTACATTTTCCAGGAGGGTGGGGGTCACTAAATTGTAATCGTAAATGGTTGATTTTTTTTTAAAACCCTCTCCCCGAGTTGAGGAGGACTGAAGGCCAATTGTAGAACTTAACACAAAAATGTACTTTGCCATTTGAGCCGTCAACCACAATAATCCCTGCCGTCCACTCACTTTTTACAGGGGAACTGACTATCTCTTCCATCCGCACCCCAAAGTTGCTGCCCTTGAGCCCGTGCGCTGTCCTCCCACAGGTAAAATAGATAAACTCACACTCCCTCGGAAAACCGGGGAACCACACGCAAACTCTTCCGTCTCGGGCCAAACACCGACAATCTCTCTCAGACGGCAAAATTCTCCCCGTGGAGAATTGATTTTAATTCAACGCAGGAATAAAGATAATTCAAAAAAAGCCACAGACCAAATGCAGAAGAAATCAAGTGAAACGCGCAAACAAAGCAAAAAGAAAAAAAAGAAAGAAAATCGATTGTAAAACAAAAAAGTTAAGGAATTGAACATTTGACCGGTTGGGATTGTAGTATAGTTTGGGTAGGAACATTTTTCTCTCTCCAGCCAGTGGATCTCTCTCCAGCACAGCTTTCTGTGTGTCTATTTATTAACCCTCTCCCACCAGTTATACTTCCTTTAGCCAACTATCACACTCTGGTACTAAACATGACGAAACAAGTATTTCACTGACACAAGACCTGTTCAATTCAAAAGACGAGGGGGACAGAAACATCGACACCAAAGGCTTTAACAGTCTGTTTTCTGTACGCGGGGAATGAAGACGTCTGTATCTTTCGAGGCTGCCTGGATGAATTGTGTAGTGAGCAGTTTGCCGTTTCCTAGCTTTTATTTGTAAGAAAGTAAGAACCACTGCCACGTGGGTGTAACGTGTGCGAGGGGGAGAAACAAAATCAAACGGATTTTAATGAATTAGCTTTATCGAATTGAGTCTTTGAGATCAATCAATGTGTCAGTAAATACTAACAATAATCCTTGCATTTGATATAGCGCCTCATCCCGTCTTCGAGATGTCTCAAAGCGCTTCACACCATACACTGTAAAGTGACTGTATATTTTGTGGGCGAAACGTACACAAAATATACGTGGGGCAAACTCTGTAGGCGAAATGCAGCAATAGTACTTACAGGATGTACATGATGACACCAAGGGACCACATGTCACAAGATTTGTCGTATTTTTCTGGGCCCAGGACTTCTGGGGCTGCAATGCAAGTTATTAAAGAAGGAAGTCACCTTAACGAGAACATAGTAGTTTATATTACAGCACCCGCTTCACTTAAACGGCACATATTTAATTCAGCCATTCAGCCCCCCCACCATCGCCAAGCGTTCAATCCACATTTGGATTCAGGTAAATTGTCTTCTTAGAAAATTGCATGAGCCCCACCCAGTTTATCATCTTCATCATTAGCTTCATGAGTTCCCTTGGGAATTGCATCCCAAGTATCAGGACTTTTTTTGTTTTGATCAGCCGGAAACCTGTCCCCATGCTTAAGAGAATCCAAACCAGAGAAGAGTCCCTCATAAAAGCCATATACCTTCCCTTGATGCAGCTTATAAACCTCCCTATAGCTTTCCAGGGCAAAGCATTCCACAGTTTCACAACCCTGCGGGTGAAGAAATGGCAAAGCAATTGGAGGTTTGCCAGTTAATGCACTCGACGGCAAACTGTGTGGTTTTAGCTGGTTAAACGCCAGCAGTTCCCCCCAATGTGCACCCTAAGCAAATTTTGGATACTCTTAAACATGGCAACGGGTTTCCGACACGCGTCAAGACACCCGACTGACAAAATTGATGTGTGAAGAAATCCTACCCCACCTCAGTTACAGCAGCAACAACAACTTGCATTTCGAACGCATGACAGTGGCGGGGTCTGACCCCGAGCCAGGGGGAGCGGGAGGGAGGAGGTGACCGTAAGCACGATCAAGAAGAAAGGTCTTTAGAGGGGGGATTTGAAGGTGGGGATGGAGGGAGGGAGGGAGGCATATAAAAGCACAAGAGACACCGCTGAATAATGAGTTCTCACCAACGTAATACGGTGTGTAACAGGGTGTTGCCAGGGAATTATGAAGAGTCGTTTCTTTAGCAAACCCGAAATCTGTGAGTTTGAGGATCGGGTTGGTAGCTTTCGACGTGTACAGCAGGTTCTCTGGCTGCGAAGGTTATAAAGAGGGTGATTTACTCACACGAGGTTAAAGCCATTGACTTGCGTGCACAGCAGCGAACCAAACCCAACTTGCTCCAGGCATCCTCTCGGTCGGTCTCCACCATCCATCAAGTCGCCCCACACAGTTCAGCCGGTAAAGTGAGGATGTACCGAGCTCCACGGAGCAGCTGACAGTATCAGGATCATAGAATCTTACAGCACAGAAGGAGGCCATTCGGCCCATCGACTCGTTGAAATAGAAATCCAACCAATCCCACTCCCCGGCTCTCAACCCCATAGCCCTGCAAGTTTTTCTTTTTTAAGTACCTATTGGTAAATATTGGTTCAACAACAACAACAAGATATTGGTAGAACAACTTGCATTTATATAGCACCCGTCCAGCAGAGTAACAGCTCTGAGCGCTTTACAGAGACTGCACCAGACCGGGGGTGGGGGTGGTGGTTGGGGGAGGTGTGTGGTTGGGAGAGGAGGGAGGTGATCGTAAGTATGGGTGACAAGGTAGGTTTTTAGGCGATGCGAGAGTTGGAAAGAGGGGTCAAGAAGGTTGAGGAGGGTAGAACCAGAAGTCAGGTGGTATTGAGGTGAGCTGGAGAGGACAATAATAATGCTTGCATTTGATAAACCGCCTTATCACGTCTTCGAGACATCTCGAAGTGCCTTAACTTAACGGAAAAACAAACACCCCTCAGTAACTAATGGTCTGACTGGAAAAACACAGGGTCTATAAGTGGCCTCAGTACGTCATTGAAAATGACTTTGTGTTTGAACTTTGCAGTGCAGGAGAAGCAAGCCTGTTACTAAAAATAGAGATGGTTTTACGACTTGCTTACATCGAGAAACTGAGGGCTGAGGGCTGTTTGTGATGATCACATCCTTGGCTGTAGCTATCTGCTTTAGCTATCATACTTGAGTTCCACAAACCTGCGAGCCTTACCTTAACGTCCCGGTGAGCAATGTTCATCAGGTGCAGGTTCTGGATTGCGCTCCCGACATCTCTCATTATCTCAGAGGCTTCTGCGGAACGTACAAGGGAAAGAGCAGAGGATTCACCACCTTATAGTCGAGCGCTCGCCCCCCCACCTTCATTTCCATCGCAGAGCAGATTTCACAGCACTGCGCACCCATTTACTCCAAACCTTGACATTGCCCTGCAGTCACTTACCCGGCAATTAAGCTGAGAGTGCATCAGATCCCAACCTGCTTTATAATGAGGCTGTGACATACCGGGTTTCACAGTGCAAAGCACTCGGCCTTGGTTTGGTTCCAGCCCACAGGCCGGGTGGATGCTGTGCTAAATTTGGCTGGTTTCTGGGTCCCCAGGGTCCCCATTGCCGTCACTTCCTGTGTGCCTTGCGTACACAGGGCACAAGGCTCGACACTGGTGGTGAACTGATGCCTCGGAAGTCGAATGCTTTTAGCTCCCAGGGTGTCGAGGTGTGTGCCCAGCGTTCAAAAGTCGGGGATCCAATAACACGAACGCCAGCTATTATTGGCACGGGAACCAGTTGGCACATGAACCCGAGCCAGCCAGCTGTGCACGGATCCACAGGGGATGGAATCCAAACCCGGTGCGTGTCGGGAGATAACAATCCTTGCATTTGACATTGCGCCTTATCGCGTCTTCGAGACGTCCCAAAGCGCTTCACAGGATACACCGGAAAGCAAATGAACTGTACGTTTTGTGGGCAAAAGGAATAAATGAATCCGTACTATATTAAAGCGTGTTATAGTGGGGGCAGCACAGTATTCTTTTCTGTCATTGACATTCAGCGAGTAAACCTGACGAGCTTAATATATTACAGTAACTAGATGCCAATCGATGGTTTGAGCGGTGGCTTACCCCTCTCGGTGAAGGCCTGATCACCTCGCTCCTGAATTCGACTGAACAGCTCACCTCCTTCCATACTGTCAGGTAGGGTTGGTGGGTGGGGGATACACGAGGGAAGAGAGGGGGGGGAAAAAATGCACCGTGAAAATCCTGAGAATTCTACAGGATTGGCTCAAGACCCTCCACTTCGACCCTGCCTTCGGCCACCCGCCTGCCTCTAACCTCCCTGCCCTCCACCTCTCGGGTCCGAATCCCTGACTGTCCAGGGCCTTGGGACGTCCTCCCGACGTGAAAGCACTATAAATGTTGGCGGTGTTGTGCGCACAGGCACCGCGCACCCTGCTATCAGAGCCCAGCCCTGAATACTGCAGTGGGCTGCCCACCTGAGAGAGAATTAGCAATGAAAATGTTTGGCTCAATTCTCAGGTCTATGTCATGACACTCAAGTTATAACACACTTCGAACACTTTGGGCACCCAGTTCTCCCCCAGATCAGCTGACGGATTAGAGACAAGAGCAAAACTCCCTCCGCACTGCCCTACCCAGCACTCCTTTAGTTACAAAGTACAGCTCCCTCTACATGCAAGGTGACCAAAAAGTTGTGATAACGACCCTTTTATCTAAAAAAAACACTTATCATCATTTCTTTGAGATTTTTTAGACGTTGTAATGGTATCGGGACTTTTTGGTCAGCCTAAGCACCAAGGTTTTACTCATCCCTTCCTAAGACCCCAATAAAACTGAACAAATAATATTAATAATAATCCTTTTATTCGTCGCAGTGCCTTAGAGCGTCGTTGAGACGCCTCAAAGCGCTTCACGGAATACACCGCAAAAGCGAATCGACTGCGTGTTTTGCAGGGAAACCCCCACAAACAACCCCCCAACCCACAAAGAACTCCAGGATTGTGTGCCCACCAACAGTGCACATCATCCGGGGCTGTGGGTGCAGAGGTGTGTGACAGAACCACTCACTCACTCACCATTCCATTACGATCAGTAGACAGCGCTTGCCATGGTGCATGTTCTCGTAGATGTTGATGATCTGGACGATGTGAAGCGTGTTTGAGGCGCGTCGGTGCAGATCCACCTCACGCCGGGCTTTGGGGCTATCGTAGAGAATCTACACGGAGAGAGAGAGAGAGAGAGTCTGGGGGTCAGGTGTTTGCTGAGCAGAGCCAGTGCCGGGCAGGAGGGAGGTTCGAGGAGGGATTTCCGAGCGCAGAAGACGATACCGAATTTGATCCGCTGGGGAATAGGGAGCCGGTGGAGATGAGCGAGGATGGGATGGGGGCGATGGGCTTGTGGAGGCTGTTGTGGAAGAGAACGCAGGCTGCAGAGCTCTGGATAGTCTGCAGGTCATGCAATAATAATTATAATCCCTTGCATTTGATGTGGCGCCTTATCACGTCGTCGAGACGTCTCAAAGGGCTTCACAGGGCGTATTGTAAAGTGTATTATATATATATATACACATACCCACAGACACACGGACACATACATACATACACACCAAATGGCACAGACACAATAGTCCGAATGGCCTCCTTCTGTGCTGTAATATCCTAAGACAAAGACACCTATATCTAGTTTTTTTTTTTGGATCAGTCTCCCTCTCTCCCCCCTCCATTCCCACCTCCTTGTGACCTTCCCCGGTGCTGTTGCCTCACCTTTTCCAAGTGGCTGATTCAGCACTTCTCATGGCTCTGTGTGGATTTCAGTGCATTAAGCACGAGGGGATCAGATTGCACTTGAACCTGATCTCTCTTACACAATATGTAAGGGCACGGACTGCATGTTTCCTCCGGTCAGCCTCTTACCCCCACACTCCCAACCACAAGCTCGGGTGCACATCTCTGACTGTCCAGCGCCTTAGGACGTCCTCCTGACGTGAAAGGCGCTGAGTAAATGTAATTTGTTGTTGTTGTCTCCACCTGGAGCAGCAGACCTGCTCCTTTGGCTCATTCTTTTACCAGTCGCAGAGCATTAAATGTGGAGGTTCCACATTCCACTGTCGAGAGCAAGATAAAGAGCTGATCTGAACTCATTCTGTTGCAGAAAAGCCACTCATCCTTTTCTCCCCCCAGGTTTGTTCCCTACTCAAGCAGGAGGAGCCTGGTCTGCTCACAGCTTAGATTAATTAATTAGGGCTGAGGTATTGAGGTCAGAGAAGTACTGAGGTTCAGGGAAATGGCTGTATTAATCCAAGTGCAGGTATTACCAGGTCAGCTAAAGCAAAGGTTAAACATACACCAAAAGCTCCCTCTACAATGTCCCAGCAAATATGCGTGGAGTCCTGTAGAGCAGTGGTTAGCGTGCTTGACTCATGAGCGAGAGGACCTTAGGCAAGTTTCCTTAAACCACACGCCTCTGTTTACTGAGCAGTAAGAAGGAACCCGGTTGTTAGTCGATCGACAGATTGCTTTCCGGGGATGATAATCCCTATATAAAAAAAATTGGATACTCAAATCCATGAATTGTTTGTGGGACACTGCTGAGCATCTACAAAGCACACAGTCAATCCACTTTATTATATATTCCGTGAACCTGCTTTGAGACGTCTCAGCGACGTAAAATGTAAGGATTAGTATTGTTACTCCACCAGTTAGACTGAGTGATATCGTCTCATCCCTCATTTCCTGCGATACTTCCTCTAGCCTTTTCAGTGGGAGGTTTCCAATTTGATATTGTCTTGAATTAAAAAACTGCGATCACTCAGGTTCACTTCCTTTCGACCTCTTACTGCTACGAGGGAGGCGAGACGTTCATTCACAAGATTGGTCTGGATGAAGAAGGCCCTTCGGCCCATCCAATCTCATCAATCCAAAATACAACAACTTGCATTGATACAGCGCCCCTCACAGGGGTGGCATTCTTGAGTACTTCCAACAACATTCTCCCATCATTGGGTCAAGCTGCTTTTCAAATGAGCATTCGTTGATTAGCCTCCAGTATCTATAATAATAATAATAATCCTTGCATTTGAAATTGCACCTTATCACGTCTTCGAGACGTCTCAAAGCCCTTCACAGGACACGTTGTAAAGAGAATTCACTGTATGTTTTGTGGGCGAAATTCTCCTTTAAACTCCAAACCCATGTCCTCTTGTTTTACTGCCTTGATACATCCGACAGTATTGATCTGGGTTTACTTTGCCATTGGAATTTGCATTGACAATTTTGTACACCTCTATGAGGTTCTCTCTGAGTCGCTTTCTCTCAAGACTGAAGAGCCTCAGCTTGTCTAACAACACTCGTGGAGTCCTGTAGCTCAGTGGTTAGAGCACTCGCTTTGCGAGCGAGAGACCCGAGTTCAATTCCCGGCAGAGGGCGAAACCTTGGGCAAGTTTCCTTACTCCACACAGAGCCTAATAATAATCCCTCCAAAACCAAAAACAATAATAAATTGGTCATTTTCAATCTACGACTGTTTGTGGGACATTGCTGTGCGCAATTGGCTGCCGCGTTCGCCCACAAATATACAGTCAATTCACTTTACAGTGTGTTCTGTGAAGCGTTTTGGGACGTCCTCCCGACGTGAAAAGCGCTATATCAAATGCAAGGATTATTATTATTATTATTATTATTATTATAACAGCTCATTCCTCTGACACTGGGGCTCACTCTCATTGCTCTCCTTGGCGGCATTCGGGGCTGAAGTTTGAACCCAGATGGATGTCAGAAGCCAAAGTCGCAATAAGTCTGTGTCAGCGCCGTTAACGCTCTGAGACACTTCCCTGCGTGGAAGGCGCTGTACAAGTGCAAGTTGCTGTTGTTGCAGCTACTAGACATTGCTTACGGTTTCCGGTATTATTTACATATTGCAGAGTGTTGTCTCAGTAAAATGAACAGCGGGACCAGACCTGCAATTAGTAGCAGGAAGGTTCGAGCCCTGCATTGCAGACCTTTCTTGTGGTTGAGCTCCCTCTCTCTCACACACACACACACACACACACACACACACACGCGCGTGCGGAGAGAGAGCTTGATTTACAAGCCATGGTGAAAGCATGACTCCACTGAAACCCCCAGGGGCACCGGTCAATTAATTATTGACGAGATCTCCTGGCGCTGGTGGGGAGAGCTGATTGAGTTGGCCTGCGTGCAACTCCAATTCTCCCGATTGTTTATGGAGAAGGGTAAATGCGATGGAAATGCTCTTCTGCGGCGATGACAGTCTGACTTGTAAATAGACTGCTGTAAGAGATAGATCGATAGGCAATCTTATACAGCAGACGGGTCCTATACATCACTCCTAACAAGTCACGGTATGGTGTAGGAAGGGAGCCCGAATTATCTGTACACACATAATAATAACCGTTGCATTTGATACAGCGCCTTATCACATCTTCGCGAAGTCTCAAAGCCCTTCGCAGGATATGCTGCAAAGTGAATCGACTGTGTGTTTTGTGGGCAAAACGCGGCAGCCGACTGCGCACGGAAGTGTCCCCACAAACAGTCGTGGATTGAAGTGACCAATTTATTATTATTATTGGAAGGATTTATTACCCCCGGAAAAGCCATCCGCCAATCGTCTAACAACCGGGTTAGCATAGAGCGGCAAAGGCTGCATGGGTGGTTGGGTGGTGGTGGTGGTGGGGGGGGGAAGAGAGAGAAGAGATGGGGAAGAAAGTAAATGGGGGGCTGCTTATCCCTTCCTCTTTGAAGGCTTGTGACTCAGGTGGGAGAAGACAGGAACCACCTCCTGACATTCCCTCTGAGGCCTTTCAGAGAGAGCTCTGGGACTCTGTCCTGGGTGAAGGGCGCTATACAAATGCAAGTTGTCGTTGTTGTCGTTGGCTCCGCGCTTGAGCACAGGTCACACGGTCCATTTCAACCGTCAGAAAACGTCACCAGCGGGATTCAGAAGCCACTGATCTCCCCGTTGCTTCCTCAATTGAGGCAATTTTTACAATGGCTCGATATCACTTCAGCTTACTCTCTCTCCAGCTCTCAGCTGCAGATGTCCCGGGGGTGGGGGTGGGGGGTGGGGGGGGAGAGGGGGATAAGAGCAAAACAGGAAGAAAAATAGGGAAGTACGAAAAGCCCTTGAAACAAAATAATTTTCGGTGACGGCACCGAAAACCACAAAATAGACCGGTTTCAAAGAAAGCACGTGAGCAAACGAGCAAACCACCCCCCCCCACCCCCCCACCAACCACCCCCAACCCAAAAAAAAATCTCCAAAAACGGTCCCAATGGATTCTTTTCAGTTTTGCTGTGCTCGGCAATATTTCACCCTCATCTCTCGTTTCCCCCACAGCTGCCTCCTGCTCGATCTCTGCCAATCAATCCCATTCTCCAAGTCACTGCAAGATGCACAGAGTATTTCTGAGTGAAGGTTCCTTCCAGATCCAAACCCCTGTCCCCACTATACCTCTTAAGCCACGGTGATGGATTTCCGCATGTGTCAAACACCCGGCTAACCGCCCGCCCGCCCACCCCCCACCCAAAAAAAAACTTCTACCACCACAGAGTCTCTTTCCTCTCTTTTCTACTGAGTGGCACACACTCTGACACTAGTCTTGGCTAACGCTTCTGATACAGCTCAGAGGAACGGACGCCAATCTGTGCGTAAGGTTCAACCACGAAGTGTTGTGGCTTCTTAATGCAACTTTCCACACAGTCAACACGCACACACACACACACACTGAACAGAACTCTCCCAAACAAACTGTGGGCAGCACACACTAAGAGGTGAGGAATACCAACATCCCAACGTTTCGGCCACAAAAATATACAGTCAATTTACTGGACGGTGTATTCTGTGAAGCGCTTTGAGACGTCTCGGAGACGTGATGAGGCGCTGTATCAAATGCAAGGATTATCATTATTATTATTATTGGAGCATTTGGATATACGGCTTCCGAAAAATGTAAGAACTTTAAGTTACGCCGACCGTCAATTAGCAACCACACTCTATTGAACTCCATCAGCCCATATTATACAGAACGCAAGTGCACCTCAAGTTACGGGAAAGCTGCAAATCACAAAACCTCAAAGGATGGAGGCTTTTGTGCAAGAAGACCTGAAACAACGGCACAGGCGATGACCGCATTGACGAATAACCAAACCAAGGGTACATAGTTCTGACTAGTAACCATCGCAGACTAGAGAAGCCAGA